GTGCTAGGACAGTTTCGGGTGATATACATGATATACAGGGTGTAATAGACGGGGTGGTATGGTTACAACCTGTCATGCTTTTATTTTTTGAGCTTCAAAAATATGTGTATGCCTTTCATTTCCGTGGATTGTTTTTTGGGGGGTAAGTTTTGTCATGTTCATTGAGTGGGAGATTTGCCGAAGCACCATGTGAATGATATTTCTTAGTTAGTTGTGTGGTTCTGAGAAGAAACATTTGGTTTAACGTTTCAAACCGTATGCTCTGTTCATCATCTGGAGATTGCCGGACTCTTGCTGGTGAAGTACAATGTAGTTTTAGTAGCGGATGCTTTTCAGTGGACCATTGAGGAGGGAGATTCTGGAACAGACTATGGTATCAACTACTATATAGTTTGTACACCAGCAAGAGTCCGGCAGTCTCCTGATGACGAACACAGCATACTGCTCGAATTGTTGAGTTACATTAAACCAACTGGTTCTTCTCAGAACCACACAACTCGCTAAAGAGATATCATTCACATGGTGTTACCACAAACCCCAATCATTGATTATGTCCACCATGCAAACCCTTAAGTCTCATTTTGTCATGTTATTTATAGTTATTTTTAATTGTTTAGGGAACCGAAACAGAACATGGTTCACATACATTTTATGTTGGATTTGCATGAACATTTTTCACATTTCCAAAATTCCACAATTTGTCATTTGCCATGGTCGCACCACAAAGTGATGTATCGTCTGCACAAAGTCCATAGACGATACGTCAATTTGGTGCACAAGACGAATTGTACCATTAAATAGTAGATTGCCTTAGATGATTCAAGTACACATGAAGTAACACCTTGAAGTTTAGTTTAATTTTTCTGCATTATTTATTTGTATTCACATACATTTAGTCAACCAGATGATAGTCTGAAGTGTCCTTTGCTTTTTGTTTTCATGGGTTGTGCTTAGTACATGTATGATTTTCACACTGTGCTTCCAGTTCATGTATTTGTAAATCACAAATATTTGCGCCCTTTATAAATAGATTGTACTAATTGTTTCAAAGTTTTTTCAGTGCCTTTTGTGATAATTCTTTAAGTTTCGGAGATTGTGAACTAAACCTCTACCCTCATCCTTTTTGCTGAAGCAAACTTATTAGGATAATGCCAAATGTGTCACACTGAAAATCTACCGATTTTGGAATGAATATTACTTTACATGTTTCTTTTAACAGCGAAGCCTTGTTGTACAATGTATTTATAGCTCAGTGCAGTTAATTATGAAGCTGATGGTATTCACAAACACAATTAAAAGTATCAACAGATACCCTTGTTTGTGTCGAAATTCATTTTGGATGTCAAAAAAATGTCTGAAACATTCAGAAGACCGGACACACTGTATACCCTTGACACTGTCTGGTCCTTTTTCAAGACTTCATAAGTCCTTGGCCATGTTGGCTATCCATAGGAATATACATGTACATATGGTACAACAATCGGTCAAGGCGTAGTTGATAGTGGTTTAATGATCCGGGCCGCAAGGGGCACTATAGCTAGTATTACACTGGACTGCTATCACCCACGAACCGTTATCACAATATTTCTGGGAATCTCTGAAAGTTCAGTGCTATAGCTGTGTGCAGGTTCATGTCATTAGAAAATTACAATGCATACATGTACATTCTACATGTTCTAAGGCAAAACAGGTGCGCGCTCATGACATTACCAGATTCCCAAGGCATTGCTATAGCGATTTGTGGGAGATAGTTTGTTACGATAAATGTTATCTTAATGTGGGTGCATGATAGTACATGCACATGCATCAACAATATTGTTGTACGCGCTATCATGCGCCACATCAGGATAGCATTATCATAACACACTGCTACAACCACAAATTGCTATCACAATGTCTTTAACAAAGACTAAAACCCGACAAAGAATATGACATGAAAGTTTGGATCAAGACAGGACACTTGTTCTTTTATTGATGAGACATGTACCTACAGTTTATTAAGCACTTCTTTCATTTTCAGGGGAAATTGTTCTTGAAAATCAACTTAAATCAATCAAATTAAACTTAACGCTTATTTCAGTCCTACAACCAGAGTACAGTCCCTTCTTTTGTGCCATGAAATTCAGACTCCAAATAGAAATAGACCATTTGACCTCAGTGACAACATACCAGTACATGGTTCAGTGTGATGGTGGGTGGCCAACAAAGAATTTCATAGGAGTCCAAATCCCATGCTACAATATACATGTACCATATCATCTGAAGACTCCAGATTGTTTAAAAACCAATCAAATAATTGGAGTCAAAATATAAATCTATAGTCATATTTCATTTGCATAATCAATTTCTGTACGATTTATATCAATATAAGTTTAACACTGATAGAAACACTGAACTATCCGAAAGCTACATTTACACGTAAAGGGATTTTTAGATCCTTTAATATACAGGTATGAACCTCTACGTCTAACTGCACGGTACGCCCCGAGGACAGGTTTTGTCATATAAATTCATCGACAATCGAAAGACCTTGTCTATACCCATGGGTATAACAGGAACAAAAATACCTGCCGACAGTGACGTAAGCTACACAGGTGTATTAAAGTATGCATACATATAAATTGTAACAATCACAAGTACAGTGATACATAAAACCACTTAAAGCACTTGGTCATTTTGTCACTTGAAACTGACTGAATTCCTTCATTCCTCGACAGATTGTCCATCAAGTTCAGGCTTTTCCAAACAGCTCCGAACACCTTTTAAGCTAAAAAATCAGAAATAATATTCTTGTCAAACCAACACACCTCATTCTCTGACAAATAGGTTTCAAAGTCGGCAGTGCTGGTGAAAGAATACAATGTACATCGTACGGATACATTCGGTTCAGAATGTTGTAGAAAGACTAATACTTTCTCTCAATACTTATCAATTATGTGATCCTAAGGATAATGAAATGTCGCAATTTATGTGGACTACATATTTGATTATACCAAAATATACCTACGCAATGCTACATGTACATATACATGCACATCTTGTTTAACTTTAAGTAATGAATGATTAATATGCTGATGCAGTATTAAAACCAACAAAATGAAAATGTGGTAGGGCCAGTTTAAAAATAGTGACCATAATCAAATCTTATGATCTCCCTTGCGATGCATTCATGACTTGACAAAACCATTCAGTATAGCTAACAATAGTTTTGTGAATCTCGTGCCCTGCAAGTTTGAATACAAGTTATGCTTCAAATGCCCAAATAACTTTTAAAGAGAAAATAATATGTCATGGGATGGCAACACAGGATCCAGCTGGGGGAAGAAAAATTAATGAACCAGCCAAGTTCAGTAAATCAATGGTAAATGCCAACCAGAAACAAGCCATTCCATCTACATTCCTCCCTCCATTTTCTTGAAACCCAATTGTAAATATACATGTACATGTACATGTACATCATGACCCAGCCAAAATAGCAAGGTATCAACATACATGTACATACATACAATGTACAAACATGTAGATCTTCAATCTTTCAGACATTTATGTACCCTCTGAATAATTATGCTTTAATTAAGAAAGAATTAATTTAATTAAGAAACATTTTTCCAAAGTGACATCATTTATATTCTAAAGATCAAATAACCATGCCAAGCATGTGCCATGAATGGCGCCATGTACATGGGTATCGTCATGTCTTACTGGTGTACATTTACATGTGAATATCAGGCGAATTTCTTGCCAGACTGGATGTCTCAGGTTCAGGTGAATACTTTGTGCAAAATATATTAGAAAATGCCCCTGGACTTAACTTACTTTATTCTTAGTTTGCATTCTCTGTGCCTGAGTGATGGTTTACGTTAAAGAGGTGTACCCTGAACTTTTTTCTCTTCGTAAATTTTAAAGCCCAAGTCCATCATTTGCAGCTATCCAAAAAAGTAACCGGCGTAATTATTGTTAAAAAACATACTGGTTGAAAGATAGTAAGGGGACTAAACTCCCTGTGAAATTATCCTTTCTGGCAAGCTCTCATTTTGAAGAAATCAACGAAAGAAGGCATTTCCAACAGTGCTTCTTAAGAAGCACCGTAGGAAAACTTAAATTAGTTGTTCGTTTTGTTATTTGGCGCAGGGCGCACAAGCATTGGAACGACGCACAGGCGCACGCGGTTGCTATAATTCATTGGATCAGTGCGCAACATCGCGTAAAGCTGCAATTCAAAACAATTCGAAACATGATTTAGCAACTTTTGATTTGAAATTGAGATCCTAGAATGCTGTTTTTCTCGGAATATGTACCTGAAGCTGAGCTGAAACTTCCTCAGGTTAGTTGTTCAGTATCCTTCATTAGATTTTGAACACTTTTGTTGCTTCAAACGAACAAAATGCACTAATTACAAATGGTGGCTGCTGTAAGAATGCAATTCTGTGATAAGCATGAAATGGTTACAATTTATATGGAACTTGAAATAAATTATCTTCCTTGACATGGGTCAAGACTTTCCATATCCTTCGTTATGTAAGCTCCCAAAATAATTAGAATCGGTCAATTCAACAAATGCAATACCATCTCAAGATCATATTAAAACAAAAACAATTTGAATTCCCAAGGATTTGAGGTAGTCCTTACAAAATAAATTCCGATTACCAACTTCTTGATATGCCATTCATTAGAATTATAAAAAAAAAAGTAATAATTAGTTAGCGCAAATTTAAGGTACTTATTCAAAAATATAATTTGTTCATAAATAAAAACAAAACTTCGTTGTAAAATTTGGTGCAATTTGGATGTTGTTTTAACTAAATTGGATTGATATGCATCATTTATGAAACTTTGGTAGTCGTTTTATTGAACCATTAGCACTTGTATGAAATGTATAACATTGTAATTACTCCTCCATGAATTCATGGGGCGGTTTTGGGCGGTAATGAGGAGTAACAGGCAGGGCGGTTTGGGGCAGTACAAGGGCTAAAGGGTTAACTGTGGACCTTCAATTTGTACGCTGGTTGTCTGCCGGCCGATTCCGGTTACAGTTTAGACTGGTGCTCGGTCAGCAATGGCCTCAGGTACTTGTAGTAGGTCTCGTGAATCTAGACGATAAAGGCAAAAAGGTCTGATTACCTAGTGCACAGATGGGAGTGTATGGTATACAAACGCCCTAGTTATCTTGCAAATAATGATGGCAGCGATCACACGCTACAATATTATAACCAAAGTAATCAGGTTGTTCAATGAGGGTCTTGGAAAAGAAAGATCTTTAACCCTCCTGCTGTTTGAACAGTCACAGACAGTCAAAAAATCAATCCTATTCCCTGCCATGCCTTTTACACAGGCTAATCACCAACAATCACATCATATTTCAGGGATGCACTCTGACTCGTCAAATTCAGTCAACAGACAAAAGCAGGTACACTGGAAAACACAGCTGTCTTATCAATCAACCCCAGTCAAAGCAAAGCTGTATCAAGTTACAGAAAAAGTCAGAGCTAGTGAATCCTGTTTTTATCCTGCTGGGAGTTCTTAACTGTTGAAAACAGCCACTTGATTGATTTTGACTGAAAGGACAACTTGGCACAGAATGTAAGTTTGCAACGGCAGGTTAAAAAATACTTTGAAAAAAAACAAAAAAAACACAGAAAACAAATTCGTCTCTCTCGGATCAGCAAGGGCTCATTCCACAGCAAGCTAGCTAGCCAACCAGCCAGCCTCATTATTAAGGTAGAGTGGACCGTTTGCAGCTATCCAAAGGGTAACCCACCAAATTATAGTTAAAAAGCTCACTTAATGTACTTGGTTTAAAGATAGTAATGACACTAAACTCCCTGTGAAATTATTTGGAGCATTGACACGATGCACACGCAGTTACTGTTATTTGTCGGTTCAGTGTGTGACATCACTTAACTTAACAATCAGGACTTTGTCACGAGACAACACAATTCAAAATGTGACTCAGCAACTTTTGAATTGAAACCAAGATCCAGAAAATTGTGTATTCTCAAAATGTACAGCGTTCACAGACCTAAACCTTCATCAAGTTAGTAGTGAAGTACCCACCTTTAGATTTTGAGCACTTTGGTTGCTTCAAACAAAGAAACAGCAATTCTTAACTGACAAATGGGTCCATTCTACCTTTAAAGTGTACATCTTAGACTTATAGACTTACCTCCGTCTTATTCTTGGGGTCTCTCAGGGCATGCTCATACAGTCTCTCATACACGTTACCATCATAGCACCCCAGCACTGAGTGTACAGTCAGGTCAGAGAAGTCAAAGGCATCCACCAAAGGCACAGCTTCAGGCCTGAGAAAAACAGATAACCAATATACTTGATTCAAAAAGTGTAAAAAAACAATTGCGACCAGCCAGGCAGGCAGGGGATCTACTTGGCAACACACATTACAGTACCGTAATGCCCATCATTGCTCCCTACAGTGCAGTCAGTTTTATTTACAATTGCCCACAGGTGGTCCATCGCAAAGAGACAAATGGCTACTGAGGAACCACTTGGGCCTAATAAGGATGTATAACATGTACAAAGCAGAATTATTATGGGATGACAGTGTGGCAGAGCAGTTATAAAGTTAAGGCTTAACACCAGTTAGGCCAAAAAAAAAAAAGTCTCCGGTTTCTGGTATGGAGCTTGTTCAAAAAGTGGTGCGGCGACACGGCTTTTTTTTTTGTACCTGTTTTTTTTTTGCTTCAAATGTTGGCTGATGACTGCAAATGGTGCCCGATTAAACTTAGTGCTAATATATGGGAGTCCAGAGAGGCCACAAAAAGCTTATTCTCGATCATAACCCCATCTAAAAACACGTTAAAATTGTGCAGCAGCAGGATTCCAGTCAAACCAGTGAGTTTGGCGGTTTTGAGACATCATCTTTTATTGGAAAAAAAATTTCTTCATTTTGCCGACGCGCATGGCTACAGCGACGCGCGCGCATACCAGAAACCGGAGACTTGGTTTTTTTTGGCCTTAGGGGCCAAACTGCCAATAAGGGGAAGGCTTGAATAATTATCGATGACCAGCCCCTAACTGGTTTAAGTTGTAATGTCATGCAGTAGGAAAGGAATATTCAATAGAGTAATTACATGTAGGTAACACAAGAAATGGACAGAACTGAAGATGTGACCGTGTGACTGTGAGATAATAATAATAATTTGGGAGGCTAATCATCCTTATCCGCAGCTGAGAAGCTGAATTGCGAAGGATGCGGCTACAATGTGGTTGAGTCGTTGGCATGTAAAGAAGCAGCCAGCCATACGACCCATATATGACCACGGAGCTCAGCCAGAGATCGAAGGTGTTGGACATTTTCGGAGGGAGGAAAACCAGAGGGCCCGGAGAAAAAGTCTCATGGCACAGGAGGGAACCAAAGCATAACTCTACCAACCTCGTCCCCAGTGCTTACTTTATTTCCAACCTAGTTTCCAATAGTAAACCCTGGATAGGAAACTTTCTTCCTGCATCCTGATTCGATACAGCAATTGGCTAGTAATGGATTTTTGTCGTGTACTTTGTGCTGTTATTCACAACGTGCAGTACGTGTTTTCGCGATTATTCGTCCACGCCTTCTCGAAAATACTCATTTCCTTCCCAATTTGTTCATATTAATATGAAATGTGATACTTCATGTTGTCTCGGTAAGATCGTAACAATTTAATTAAATAAATCGTGTTTTTCGTAACTCACGCCATGCTCGCGCTGCGACAAATTGACTCTGCTTTTACCCCAGACACCGCATACAAAAACAAACGCAAATGTAACGCACAAGCAGGCACCAGACTATTCCTCATTTGCATACGTGTTCAAAAATCTTGCACATGCAAACGATCCAATACCAGGGTGAGAGAGCCGGTAGTGATGGGCACGTACTGCTCGACACCCTGGGGTCGAGGTTGCAACTCTACTCACATGTGGTCCTAGCTGGGAACAAACCAGGGTCACAGTGGTACGAGACGAGCCCTTTACGCACTAGCCAGCCATGCCACCTAATAAAATTATACAAAACAATGCTATGTTTCCTGCCTTACCTGACAGCATTTAGGAGTGCCAGGTACTGCCCATGTACCATCTGTGCCTGCTCAGCGTTCATGTACCCATCCTCTAGGAAGTCTCCAATGCTCTGATCCATCATGTAGATAGCATACAGGCAGCTCAGGGTCTGTAGTATGGACTGGATGGCTGGGTCTACGGCTAAGGGCTTGATGACATCAAAGACGGTGGCCATGGTGTAGAACTGCATGTGGGCCTGGAGATAGAGGCAAAAGCAAAAATATATATTATGAGACCACAGTGGGTTCTGAAGAAAGAGCATTCAGACAAAGACAGACACCAAGTGTAACATATTATTATTTATATCAGGCTCTCGGTGGTAAAAATAAATCAGCGTATTGCATGCTTTCCCAAAAAGTACTCCGACAACTGCAGTAGTATGTCAGTAAAAGTACCCGGACGAGGACAATTATTGTTTTTGATATTGTCCTCATCTGGGCATTTAAAGCTAAAGTCCATCATTTGCAGCCATCCGAAAAGTAACTGGCGTAATTACTGTTGAAAAACAAACTTGGTTGAAAGATAGTAAGGGAACTAAACTCCCTGTGAAATTATTCTTTCTGGGAAGCTGTCATTTTGAAGTAATCAACGAAAGAAGGCATTTCCAACGGTGATTCTTAAGAAGCACCGTAGGAAAATTTAAATTAGTAGTTCGTTTTGTTATTCAGCGCAGCGCGCACAAGTATTGGAATGACGCACACGTGCGCGCAGTTGTTATAATTCGTCGGATCAGTGCGCGACGCCGCGTATAGCTGCAATTACAAAACAATTCAAAACATGATTAAGTAACTTTTGATTTAAAATTGAGATCTTAGAATGCTGTTTTTCTCGGAATGTACAGCTGAAGCTTAGCTGAAACTTCATCAAGTTAGTTGCTCAGTATCCTTTATTAGATTTTGAATACTTTTGTTGCTTCAAACGAACAAAATGCACTAATTACAAATGATGGACTATAGCTTTAAACAAATTTCACTGGTTTTTGCACAATCAAGAGTGTAGAAACTCTAAGTTGTCACAGAGCGTAGCGCGCAGTACTGTCACATGATTACACAGCGCGCAGCAGGGTATACGCGCACTTTTGTCAATAACCACAAATGGCAGCTTCGAGCGGCATGAAATTTGCTTCGGTAAGCGAAGAATAATTTGACAAAAGAGAAATTAAGATGGTGCCATAAAATGTATTTCTTGTGAATCAAGTCAGCCTGATATAAATAATATTGTTGTACATTTGTACCTTTGTCTTGAAAACTGTATTGTCATTGGCCTAGAACAAATTAAGTTAAGTCCAGGGGCATTTTCTAATATATTTTGCACGAAGTATTTGCCTGAAGCCGAGACGTCTAATTTGGCCAGAAATTCACCTGATATTCACATGTAAATGTACACCAGTAAGACATGACAATACCCATGTACATGGCGCCATTCATCATGGCGCATGCTTGGCATGGTTATTTGATCTTTAGAACATAAATGACATTTTCACTTTGTGAAAATGTTTCTTAATCCAAGAAATCATTGATAGCATAATTATAAAATTGTGTTATCAAAGGGAACACAGAAATCCGAAGGATTGAAGATCTACGTGTATCTATGTATGTATGTATGTTGATACTTTGCCATTTTGGCTGGGTCATTATACACAATTGAGTTCCAATAAGCCATTTGCGTGTAACCTATACCCTTTGGGATTTACATTTGAAAAACGTCGGGTACAATGACTTGCTCAGAATGCTTGGCACATTTTAACTGTGAATTCTCCAGACCAAAGACACTGTTGCTAATCACATGATTCGGGGCAAGCTCTTGCATAGTTACGTAAGAGACGCTCAGCACCAATACATCGTTCACAATGGGTGAGAATGGCACAAAAACACCAGACCATGCCGGAGCTGGGGGTTGCTAGCATAAGGCTTGCCCCGAATCACGTGATATAGTAACAGTCTCTTTGGTCGGGAGAATGCTAGGTTAAAACGTGCAAAGCATTGTATTAAGTCAGCGTTCCAGATTTTATTCAAATCTAACACGCAAGTGGCTTATCCGCTTTATTTTTGGCTGGCATTTACAATTGATTACTGAACTTGGCTGGTTCTTTATCTTTCTTCCTCCAACTGGATCCTGTGCTGCTATCCCATAACATTTTTTTTTTCTCTTTAAAAGCTATTTTGACATTTGAAGCATAACTTTTATTCAAACTTGCAAGGCATGAGATTCACAAACTATTGTTAGCTAAAGCTCAATGGTTTCGTCAAGTCATGACTGCATCGCAATGGAGAATCTTAACATTCTTTTGTGGTCGCTTTTTGCACTGGCAAAAAAAAGGGCAAACATACACTCTCATCATGAGCTTACGAAACGACTGACCGAAAAAACAAAAACAATTTCAAATATCCCGTCCTGCGAATTGTCAACCATCTCCCGCAATACATTGGGAAAAATGAACTCTCCGTGGCAAACTGCGCACTGCATTGTGAAAGCCCGAATTTAATATTAAATTATTCGAAAATGCACAGCCCGAGTTGTTCAAGCAGCCACGTTTAGTTGGAGAATTTTCAACACCCCAAAACATGCAACAACAACAAAATAGTCTTTACCTTGGCAGCGCGCACCAAGTCTACTGTGGAGTTGTTCCAGGCCACACCCTGCGACTGCCCCTGGCCCATCAGCTGTGCCATACGCTGACCAACTTGGTTGACCAGACTGTACACATAGGAGGAGAATAATGTGGGGAGATTTAAAGGAGAAACATGAAGATAATTAGCTGGTTTATTGTCTCAAATACATGTATCATCTCTGTTTCATGTCAGGACGCTGTTGTATCAGCTCTGTAGTCTATTACTTTGTACTAGCCTGGCATTCCTTTTATTATTATTATTATTATTATTGGCAGCTGAAGTTACGCAACGCAAAAAGTAAACTACTACTGGCAACAAGAATTAACAGGCATGCAACTGGGAATTTAGGAAAAACGAGGACATTCCAAACCAAAAATGTGGAAATCAGTGGTTCCGAGGAAAAGTGGCATGCCTGTTAAAGTGACTGGGAGTCTTGGCTTCGCGCTATGGTGAACCAGGTTTGGCAGTAGCATACAGCTAATACCTGAGCTTTTCCAACAACGTTGTCATCGATAAGAATTTGTACATGTTGGAAATAGGGGAATCAGCTTAAACCACAAAACCTTGCAAAACTGACTAACGACAGTTTTATATGATGAAAAACCAATCACTGGCAGTAAACAGTTATAGTCCCTGTCCAAACCAACACCACCCTGCCACTCACTCCCTCTACCACCCTAAACCTCCCCAGCGCTGTGGTACGCAGCAACGGGACACCCAATAGAAGTAAAACACGGGTACCCCTAAAAGAAACCAGAACCTCAATATTCAAATCCAAAAAAATTGTCTGAAGGGCTTCATAGCTTTACCCTGTAAACTGCAACTTTCGCGAGGGTCGCCCGTCACTTGTTAAAATACAACTAAACATGAAGTCTGTTTTTGTTTTCCATTCAGCCTGGTTTCAATTTGATAATTCCCAACAAGAAGCATTTAAAACCTTTTTGTTCATTGTCTGAAAAGTTACTCAAATTTGTAAAGGTGGTTATGGGTACCCAATGCCCATAATCTGGAACCGGTTCCTGACATCAGTGGTCGTGTACTCAGGTCCCTGGTTCTGATGCACACCCACACCCAGCACTATGTGAATTTTAAGGACATATCAGGGAATAAACACAATGTAATACAATGAAATACTGGTGTTAAAGCAAGGCCCAACATTTACCGATAGGCTCGGTGCTGGTACGCTTTGTAGAGCAAATCACTGTTCACCACATCTGTCTCTGTCTGTGCTGGCCATGTTTGCCCGCTGGTATCCTCAGCCAGATAGGCTACTGATGATGCTAAGCTGCCTCCATTCTGGGCAGCATAGGCACTCTTGAGCAAGTACCTACATGTATGACAATGACCAGAGGGAAACAGGTATACATTTAAACACGGTTGGTCTGAATTTTGGGTTGTGGAACCCCAAACTGAATTACTATTTTTATATTTTAGCATACACCTGATTAAAGGTTGGGTAGTTCACTTGTCATTTGCATTTGAGCATTTGTTTCGTTTGAAGCAACAAAAGTGCTCAAAATCTAAAGGTGAGTGCTAAACAACTAACCTGATAAATTTTTAGCTCAGTGAATGCTGTATATTCCCAGAAAACTATATTCTAGGATCTCAATTTCAATTGAAAGTTACCGAGTGATATGTTTTGAATTGCGCCCGAAATCAGCATCCGGGACACATTCTCATTCAACCGATTGCAGCTACGCGATGTCGCGCACTAAACCGACAAATAACAGCAACCGTGTGACCAATATCGACCAATGACATTATTAGATTGGTCCATAAATATTCATGAGGCATAAGGCAGTGTGGGACAGCAATACCTTGCCACTTGAAGCATCATGACGGTGTTTTCCCCCTCGTAGGTGCAGCCAGCCGACAGTCGCGAATAGCTGTACGGCAGACCGGAACTGAGCAGAAAGCCGTGCCCACCGCAAGCAAAGCGGGCCGTGTCAACGAAGCGCACGGCGGTGCCAGTGGTGAAAGCCTTCAGGCCGCAGGTCAGGGCATGAAGCTGTGAGGTCAACATTTGTAGAGAGAAAGTAAAGATTGTTAACTCTTGGCTAGCGAGAGAACAGCCTCAACCAATTATTGAGCCTAATAAGGGCTGTCCTGAATACACCTGGTACAAAATGCGAGGCCTGCATCATTGCATTCAATTGTGTGTTGCAAACAACTATGATTATAAAAACTGCTTAGTTTCTTTTTGTGCCAGGTGTATACCGAGTATTCAAATATTCAATCATCAACCGAACTCTAGTAGCTTTTTGACGGTTCAATTATTTAACTAAAAAAAAAAATATGCACGTACACACACAACTCTTATGTTATTATAATCATAACTTTGTAGCGCTTTATTCACATGCCACATTTTTTTTGAGGTTACTTTTTTGTCGACAGCGGTTCATTGTTCCCATCCTTTTGGCAGGTTAAAGGCCTTGCATTGACAGTTATCTGGTTATCTATACTGTAAATCACTCCAGCGGCCCATAATTGCGATCGCTGCATGCAAATTTTAACCAATGCGTGTTGTGTGCAAGTTGTTAGCAGCACGGCATGCAGTTGCAGCTGGCACATTGTAAAACTTGATCGGTGAGTTTCAAATATTCAAATATTCGGTCAAATGAATAATCAAATATTGAATTATTTGAAAATGAACAGCCCTAAGCCTAATTCTGCCAGGCGCAACAAATTTCAACAGGTCAGAAAATGCTGTTGCATTTAGCAGAAGTTTCCAGCCAAACTACCATGACAGGTTAGGGCTGAAGAAAGGTTCTAGTAGAAATGATATTATGTACATGTATGTCCTATCTAATGACACTACATGTTTCCTATTTCTAGCCAAAATACCACAGCAGGTTAGTGTTGAGAAAAGGTTCTAGTAGAAATGACATTGTGTGTGTCTTATAAATAACATTACGTGTGTCTAACTATTTCTAGCCAAAATACCATGGCAGGTTAAACATGTAATTAGAGTTAAAGAAAGGTTCTAGTAGAAATGACATTACGTGTGTCCTGTTAAGGTATGATAATTTCATCATTATCGATACCAATACCCACTGCTATGTCAGCTTCGAACCGGCTCATCCACTAAGGCAACTCCAGTGGTTGACTGGTTAGGACATCTGCATTACTAAGCAGATGGACATGGGTTTGAGTCCATCCCAAGCAGGTTTGTGATTTTCCTTTTCTCCTAAGTTGTTTGAACAACACTGACTTTGCACAAAAGAAGACAAATTGCAATTCTAGTTTCAGCTATTGCCTACCTCAGGCAAACTGCTGAAGTCCTCTTTCTCAATGTCTGCCTGGACTTTGTTGAAGACCTCCTGGAGCCGTTTGCCGACGGCATTGAAGGCGTAGGCCGTGGCCAGACCTGGGAAGAGCTTCTCTTGTTGGGTCTGATAGTCCAGAATCACTACCTCAGGGCCCCTGAAACAAAATTAATGTACAACGTTAATTGTGATCCTACAAAGTGAATCTTAACAATATATTTTTTTTGACAACTTTTCACATATGCAGTCAGAAGAGCATACTTAGGTCTTTATTTTGATATGGGCAATATACAGATATATGTGCGAGAATAAAAGAGGGTGCAAGTGTACTGGTTGACGCGTGTATAGCTCGATGTATGCACGACTTGTTTGTTTTGAATGTTCACAAAGCCAAAGCATCTTAAAGCTTTAGTCCATCATTTGCAGCCATCCGAAAAGCAACTGGCGTACTTATTGTTGAAAAACATACTTGGTTGAAGGATAGTAAGGGGATTATAAACTCCCTGTGAAATTATTCTTTCTGGCAAGCTGTCATTTAGAAGTAATCAACGAAGGAAGGCCTTTCCTAAGACGCGCCGTAGGAAAATTTACATTAGTAGTTCGTTTGTTATTCGGTGAAGCACGCGCAAGCATTGGCACGACGCACACACACGCGTGGTTGCTATAATTCGTCTGGTCAGTGCGCGACATTGCGTAGCTGCAATCGGCTCAGTGAGAACGCGTCTCGGACGCTGAATTCAGGCCCAATTCAAAACATGATTCAGCAACTTTTGATTTGAAATTGAGATCCTAGAATGCTTTTTTTCTCGAAATATACAGCTGAAGCTGAGCTGAAACTTCATCAGGTTTGTTGTTCAGTATCCTTCATTAGATTTTGAACACTTTTGTTGCTTCAAACGAACAAAATGCACAAATTACAAATGATGGACTATATCTTTAACATGTGCATCAGGCGTTGTCGGCTATGCGTTCGAATGACTCTTCCAGCTAGTGGTCTCTCCCAACTCTTCTTTTCTTGCCATTGAGGGGGTACTGGTGCGCGGAGCCCATAACAGTCATACATGTAACTGCAGACATTTCATAGATGAAACGTTGACTATTCAGTTTTATTGTGCAAGACTTGTTAATAAGCCTTACTTCTAACAACTACATGTTGCGATTCTATTAAGTGAGTTGGGTCATAAGTGACTGATCTACATGCAATTTACTTGTGACCAAGAATGACCAAGATTGACAATACTGTCTGTCAGTGAGAATTTCCCCCAAACTGGAGCTGTGGAAAACCAGGTCCCACAACAATGAGAGCAAATGTATTTGAAGTAATATTTTGGACAAAAACAATATATGTGTGACTTTATCAAGACTGGCACCTGAATGGCTTGAACGTCGAGTTGGCAAGATACATGTAAATACACAAAAACTGAAACACTTTGAAATATACTTCCGTGCAATTTTATTTACTACTTTTCAATGAATGGTGCAATTAAATATCACTTTGTGTGAAACATACTTTACAGCCAAATTGGTGCAGTCTGTAGAGAATTCAATTCCGTTGGTTCAAGAAAAAAAATTTCTATATACAATGATATAGTAAAAGACAAATTTGATTAAGTAAACACATTTTACCACAGTGAGACTTTATTTCTGAAGTGACTATTTCTGACAGAGATGGCCCGCCATACTTTGTATTAAAGATATAGTCCATCATTTGTAATTTGTGCATTTTGTTCATTTGAAGCAACAAAAGTGTTCAAAATCTAATGAAGGATACTGAACAACTAACCTGATGAAGTTTCAGCTCAGCTTCAGCTGTATATTCCGAGAAAAACAGCATTCTAGGATCTCAATTTCAAATCAAAAGTTGCTGCATCATGTTTTGAATTGTTTTGAATTGCAGCTATACGCGATGTCGCGCACTGATCCGACGAATTATAGCAACCGCGCACGCCTGTGCGCCGTTCCAATGCTTGCGCGCGCTGCGCCGAATAACAAAACGAACTACTAATTTAAATTTTCCTACTTTCCATTGGAAAGGCCTTCTTTTGTTGATTACTTCAAAATGATAGCTTGCCAGAAAGATTAATTTCACAGGGAGTTTAGTCCACTTACTATCTTTCAACCAAGTATGTCTTTCAACAATAATACGCCAGTTACTTTTTCGGATGGCTGCAAATGATGGACTATAGCTTTAACTCACCCTTGATCTACGGGGCCCTGCTTACGGACGGCGCTGTAGCGGATCGCCGTGGTTAGGACACGGCCCAGGGACTGCCAACACTCCTGGGCTATCTTGAGTCTGACCACCATCATGGTAGTGTACATGACCTTGGGGTTACCCTTCTTGCTGTAGGTACCGTCTGGTGCCACCTGAGATACGTACAGATGAGGCCAGAAAATGTGATTGAAATACCAGTGGCAGACTGGCAATACATCGTCGAGCAAATTTAATTATTCCTAATGTCCGAATTATTAGATACATGGAAAGTTTGATGCTGGAAACCATTCGGAGTGACTACAAAAAAGATGGACTGCACCATAGTTGTTGAAAAATAATATAGTTAAATAAGCGAATAAAAATATGCTTGGCCGGTGTTCAGCAAGTACGTTTAAAGCCGACAAGGGGCCTGGGCCCAATTTCACAGCGCTGCTAAGCACACAATTTTCTGCTGACAGAGCCTCCGTCTATTTCATGACACATCCACGCCGTGAAATAGTGCTTGAGGTTAGCAAATTTGTCTGCTATGTTAAGCACAACTTTTCTGCTAACTGTTAAGCAGCGCCGTGAAATTGGGCCCAGAATGAAGTTCGTTTAAAACCGGCTAGGGGCGTGGACACGGATAACGACTCCTGCTGATATTTATTTCAATTCATAAAATACCTTTTGGTACAAAAATCCAACCAATTTTGTTCAACAATTGTCCTTCACGTTTTGTGAGACACCCCTCTGGCTATGTCTATGGTACGTGCCTCGCATGCGTAGTGCTAAAAAATATGAACATTTTAAGGTGCGCGTGCAGCTCATACTGCGCAACGTGGCGCAGAACACAGCGGTGTTTTACAGACGGTTTAAAACCACCCGATGGGCTCTTAACCAAATGGGATTGATAAACTGTCTCAAATATTCATGAAAAGAGAAATGAATCCTTAAAGTCTGGCTGTCTGAAACAAAGTCCATTTGGGTAGACCTGAACGAATCCTCTCTTTTTTTTAGCCGAATGCCACCTTGAAACAGATGTAGGCCTGCACATACAAGAACAGGACGGTTTGGTGTTGCTGTATGTCAACAATGTCTGTGACAAACTCAACATGACTATATAAAGTTCTGGTAACTGGTGGACATACATTTACATGTACAAATGAAACAAAACAAGTACTCAAGAATAACCCAGTTACCACCATTTAAACATTTTACAATGTATGCACGTTAATTTTAGGAATATTTCCACATACCTGGGAGTATTTCATGAACATATCCTTCCTGGGGATGCGTACATTCTCCAGAGACAAGTAGCCATTGTCAACTCCACCAAAGTTCCACTTGTCTCCGATGGCTCCAACAGATCTGCCTAAAAAATGTAACAACAAAAATATCGTCAAAACTAGTACATGTAGGGAAAACTTTTTGGAAGAAAAATCATCCCATTCCGTTTTTTGCATTTTGCTCCACCAAGACCTGTGCCCAGTTCCTAGGGCCAATGATTTTCCATTTCAGAAAAGTGCAAATTCCGTTTTCAAAAATCCTGAATTCCGTTTTAGGCTGAAAAATTCCGTTTCACATTTATTCATTACATAAAAAGGCAGTAAATAATTCCAAGACGATAATGAAATAGTCGTTTGGTTGGAGCGCGGGAAAACTGCCCCAAAAAGATTTCTATTTTATCAACGGCCGATCAATGTACAGACATAGTATTTAACTTCACCACAGTCAAGTCGTATACTGCACTGCCACTGCCACACACGCAAGAAACATGCAATAGCCGTACAGGCCAATCCCATGACGTCACACACATCAGCTGGCCGAAACGAAATTCATGTCCGCCATTTTGTTTTCGGGCTAACGTTAGCGACAAAATTGGATAGTTTACGCATGGAGGAATAAGAACACACGGTAGATTTTGGACCTAAGCACAACATGCATTTCAATAGAGCCAAAGTTAGGTGTTATAGGAATGGTTGATTGATTGAACAGAGAAAAATAAACCTGCCGATGGAGCAAAAGAGACCCGCGAGAGCGTTCCGTGAGTGTGATGATTTTCACCGTTGCGCTGACCAACAGCTACGGCATGCGTCGGGACTGTCACTCCCATGACTACGCGTAGTACGGTAATGATCTCGCAACATTTATTGCTCTGATCTTGAACGTTTTTGTCCCCCCAAAATCGTGATATAAACACTGCTCATTTGTTGTATGGCTCGTCTGTTCAATCAATCATCAATAATTCGTTTTGTACTCAATAAATTTAACGAAATTATGTTTTTTATCAATAAAATTGCAGAAATTATTTTCTTCAGATTCAAATTCCGTTTTCTGTTTCGAGGAGCAGATTCCGCGAATTTCGTCCGTTTTCCGCGATCGCGGAAAATCATTGGCCCTAAATTCCATCTCATTTTGCCAAAATGCCTCACATATTAGAAAAGAACAATACCTGGGAGCACACTGTGATCCTTCAGACTTCTCAGCTGCACCATGAAGGCATGTGGGCCATAATTCTTGCCTCCAATTATCAACTGTGCAATCAGGATGACATGGGTTGAAGTTTTGCCCACTGAAATGGATAAAAACACATTGAATTTTTAAAATTGTTTCGACCGAGCATTACACATTTTATGTTTTTTTTCTTAATCATGTTGTTTTTGTTCTCTTGTGGGAAACAACTTCACGGTTGTGAATCGACTCTAGCTGTGACATAGAATAGTTTTCCTGTACAAACAAGATACATTGTAGTGGCATTTTTTGTGTCCCAGAATCTCTGTTTCTTTTTTACATGCTCTTCAGTTTAAAGGGAATATACAACATTTGAAAATATTGAAAAATAAAACTACCCAGTTTTTACGAAATACCTTACTAGCCATGCTAGCATGTTGGTAAATGACATTGTAAAGCATCCTGTAAAATAACGGCACCAGGTGTGAAGTCATTTTCAAGAAAAGTGGTATTTTTGTATACATTTCCAACGGTGGTCGGCCGACCACCGTTGGAAAAACCTAACCATTTTTCAACTACTGCTCCCAATTTACCATTTTTTTCAGTTTTGTTTTCAAATTTTGTTTGCTGTTGGTTACATGTACATGAACGGGTGCAGGCCAGCTAGACTGGTTCCCTCACCTTACAATTTTCCGGCATCTATAAATTGAACCATTTCAACTTTAGTGGAGTCAGAAAACCAGACTACATGTACTTGAACATTTTTGTTTTTCTTGTTTTTTTCAGCATTTTCGAACACAAAACTTCAAACATGTCAGTGTAATAATATTTGATCTATTATACTAACCCCTCATATAGTTCATTTCCGAAAATTACACCAAAACCCAATGATGTACATTCCCTTTAAAGTAAATTTAATTTCTATGGTTTATGAACAAATCAGTTGGAAAGGAATTCCCCTTTGATGGACTACATGTACGTTTGTTTTGTAGACTAGCCTCTCGCTGAACAAAATTAGACACCATTTTTAAGTTGTATTATGCTCGTACACACGCGGCACGCTTACCTAAAGACAAGAAGGGAATGCTTTGGTAGCCTATTTGTCAAAGGAGCCCGGAGTGTGAGCGTAATACCTGAGCGTGACTTGCGCGAGCCTGGTACCACCTCAGAAAATTTTTGTCCCTGAATTAGTCTATATTCCTAAGGCAAAGTCTCGGTCCAAGTCTAGATATCAACAAGATGAATCAAATCCAGCTTTTGAAACTTTTGCTCGTAAAAACTTTTGAACTTTTGACCAGAAGAATTATTAGCATACCTCAAAGGTATGCATTTGCTTGATACTGGGTTCCATGCATAAGTACCCTCTCAACTGTAAGATTGGAAGAGTTGGGGGAGACCACTGGAAGACTATACAGTCGAACTCGCCAGACGCCTGACGCTCTCGCGAAGACATTATGCCTTTGTGCACTTTCAGCATAAAATTAGTTGCGTACTTCGCACTATCCGTGCTCATTCCAGTATGCACATGTGGTGTGTCCCATCTGGTCAAGTGGTCAAAAGGAGCTGTCTCTTATTCGCACACAGAGACCATAGCACGCATGAGGTACATGTATATTCAGAATTTCACAGGTATAAGTGCTATAGCTGCTAAGACTAAATTTGATTCAGCTGATTGATATCACCCTCCACCAATAAAGCTCGTCAGTGCTTGCCAGGGATTTGGGCCGACACGATATAAGGGAAACAACATCCAAAACCTGTCTTAGGCCAATACTATTATATGAGGCAAAGCCAAGGGAAAAAAGAATACTCCCTCGATCAAATAACTTAAGGGTTTCATGGTGTTATAAACCTACTTGCTCCTGGCCACCATTTCATTGATGTCAGCGTGGGAGAGTTGAGGACAAAGTCCTCGGTGGATGGAATGTATGTCGCGGTGGTCTCCAATCCCGGGATATAGGTGCCTATTTGACAAGAAATGAGCACAAGAAAAATGTTTTAATATTTGTAATATTCACTATTAATATCCTACAATGTTTGTAGTTGAGTCTATCAAAATTCCTCACAAGTCAATCACAAGTCAATCACAAGTCTTCAAGTCTCTTAAGTCAAGTCAAAAGCTCTTCAAATGAACTGTTTTCCCTGTTACTTGTGACTGGTTACTGTCCGAACTGTAAATTTCTTGTAGTAACCTTGATGGGTTCAAATACCAACAAGATTAGCCACTAAATTCTTAGGCCAAAAAAAAAAGTCTCCGGTTTCTGGTATGGAGCTTGCCCCAAAAGTGGTGCGGCGACGCGGCTTTTTTTTTTTTTTTTACCTGTTTTTTTTTTTTTTTTGCTTCAAATGTCGGCTGATGACTGCAAATGGTGCCCGACTAAACTTAGTGTAAATATATGGGAGTCCAGAGAGGCCACATAAAGCTTATTCTCGATCATAACCCCATCTAAAAACACGTTAAAATTGTGCAGCAGCAGGATTCTAGTCAAACCAGTGAGTTTGGCGGTTTTGAGACATCATCTTGTATTGAAAAAAAAACTTTTTCATTTTGCCGACGCGCATGGCTACGGCGACGCGCGCGCATACCAGAAACCGGAGACTTTTTTTTTTGGCCTTATCTGTACCTTTTAAATGTATGCTGTAACGTACGCCCCCTTAACCACTTTGCGCCAGTTTCTTTTTTGGCCAAAAATGTCGAAATTTTCGAAAGATAAATTTTTCCAGAAAACTTCTGATACACAGCCAAACACCACAAATACTGATTTGCAAGAGTGATTTCAATGTTTGTACGATATTTCTTGCCAAAACCTCATATGTTTCAATATTCCAAGTTGTGCACTCTAGCATAAATTGTGTAACAATAGGCCATGCACAACGGCCCACACACGGTCCACTTCCACAGACTACATGGACTTTGTGTGTGAGTAACAAAAAGCATGAGGGGTTAGCATGTTTAGACGTCACCCGGAGGTGAGTCGAGGCAATCTTGACATGTTAACCCGTCAGCCGTGCCTGTGCAAAAAAAACAGCCAGTACGTGTTATCACGGCCGCTGACGCAAACTGGTTGAAGACCTTGCAAGTTACAAGGAAGTTTGATGCGGAACACGCATTATGTGTAATTCTCATGAAATGTGTCATAATCTCAACATGATTCAGTTTTGTGAAATTGGCTGTGGATGAATCCCCGAAGCAAGAGCCATCAACGCTACACTTCTCAACATCACCTCTTGCTCAACTCACCATGGCCTAACTCTGTCTGCGCATACGTTCCCATGATCTGCATGTTCCTAGCTTTGCCCAACCATCGCGCCTTCTGCTCTTCGGTGCCTTGGTTGTCAATGAAGGTCACAAACATCAGGTCATGAACCCCAAAAGTCACGTCATTGGTCAATGCTCTGGGGAAAAATATAACTAAATTTGAAGCATATCAATTGTGAGGTTATTCCAAATATATTTATGAGAGAATTTTGGGACTCACAATTACTGCTCACAATACCCCTCTTAATAACTGTTATAATTTGTACACTTACACTGACATGACTGAGCAAATTCCATAAGAATGTGATCAAAATATCGTCACAATTTTATCCTTGTTCATCAGGAATGAGACACTGCAGCAGCTTATGATAGGCGTAATGTGGTCTCTACTTTCACAGGCACCCATTTATACTTCTGGTAAAAAGCGAGGCAATCGTAGTAAAGTGCCTTGCCCAAGAACACAAGCACCAAATGTCCCCTTTAAGGGACATATAAAATTTCAGGTTGGTGCAGCGGTACTTTCCTCGCTTTCCACCGCTGTGACCCGGGTTCGAATCTCGCCTGCACCAAACTGTGGATTGGGTTTTCAGTCCCTGCCTGATTCCGTGGGTTTTCCCCAGAATATTCTTCTGGGGACTTCTTTCCACCACTAAAACTGTAATTTCTACTCATTGTCTTCTCTCTACAAGTTTCTTCAGGCTTGCGAGCTACAGTGCCTGGGGCACTTTTGAGGAATCCTTGGTTTCATTACCAGAAATAACAAAAATAATAAATAATAAGAAGAATTGGTCAATGTGCACTGTTTGATTGACAGGCATGAAGATCCCTTGTATTTTTTATTTGTACCTGTAGACATAATCCCATGTCTCTGAGAACGTGATGTTGTGAACCTTCTTGAAGTCAATCAGTCGGATGGAACGCTTGACCCCGATGTCGAAGGTCTCTGCTGAGGTCCGGATGTAGCGGTCTCGCTCGCTGAAAAGAGGGTCTGAAAACAGACTGGATTCTGGAAAAGGGCAGAAAGATAAAAACAATGTTAATAAACATGATAATTGAAAAAGAGGGTGATCACTGAACTGAATTTGAGATAAGATTGTAAGAAAATTATAAAAAGTGCCAACAAAAATTAACAATCATGACCATTCTTGAACAGCTCTATCAGCAGTTTTGATACTGTGCAGGTTTTTGTTGTACTAAAACTATACACTGTAAATTCTGCATACATGTAACAGTATCAGCAGTATTTCTAGCTATCTGCCCGATGTGCCAACCACACTTATCAAATGTGCTTCTTTGTCAATCTCACAATGCGGCCACCTGTCCTATTTAGTCAGTTTGGGTCACTCACAGTAATTGAACACATGTTAAATCTTAGCACTGAGTGTGGCCAACGTTTCATAGTGGCCAGTCCCTTGGGTAGCAACTTTAGTCTACATGAGCTTTAATTTCTTTATTTTATTATACAAAGCCTGAATAAATCCCCATCATCTGATTGGTGGATCGTCGATTACATCATTGGGGCAATTCCACGGTTACTCGCGTTACATTTTTGATGTACTTTTGAGTTTCCTTGGGTTGTAATTACCTTACTGAAAAGGTTTAATAACTGTTATCCCCATGGTAGATAGAGTAGACCTAGACCTACCTAAGCACCAAAGACGACATCCAGAAAATGTGTTATGTATGATAAACAAGATGCACAAAATCGGTTACTCACGTTACATTATCGTAAAGTGAGTAACTGATTTTGTACGTCTTGTTTATCATGTATATAAAACATTTTTCTGGATGTCATCTTTGGTGCTTAGGTAGGTCTAGGTCTACTCTATCTACCACGGGGTAACAGCTATTAAACCTTCTCAGTAAGGTAATTACATCCCAAGGAAACTCAAAAATACATCAAAAATGTAACGTGAGTAACCATGGAATTGCCCATTGGATTATTCAAACGCACGGCCCGGCTGCACTGCTAAATTGCAGTTACTTTCCATGGTAAATAGAAGTTCCATTGCAGGGTGGATCTGACCAATCAGATGACGAGGATTTAATTCAGGCTTTGTATAAAACAAATAATGTGTTTTTCACATGAGTTCAATGGAAAGAACAAATTCATTCTGTGACAAACAGAATGTTCCATTCGATTGAACAGTCCGCTGTCACCTCATGAAATTATTCTTACCATCGCACTCATAAACATTCATTATTTGTGTTTAATTGCAAATCAAATAAAAGATCACCACTTTTTTGTTCATGTGTAATTGTGCATGTAAACACAAAAGTGGCACCGGTATTCCGAACATTTCCAAAACTGCCACGGAAAAACTTTTTAAAACAATGCCCTCTAAATCACCAAAAAAAGTATTATTTCAAGAAAAATCGTCTTTGTCTCACTCCTTAGATAAATTTTTTGGGGATGAGACACAAATTTTCTCTTACGATAAAATTACTTTCTGATATACTCATGTACATAAAAAAAAGAAAAATTGGGGCATACACCTGGCCAGATAATAGGCTTACCAATATGGCGTCTACGTGCCGTCTTGTCCTTGCCATCATCAATCATATAGGTCATCTGAGTGACCAGGTCCTTGGTCAGCGTGGCCCTGTCTCTCTCTCGTTGTAGGAGGGGGTTGACGGTCGGCGGGATGATGTCAGCCCCGACCGCACCTGAAATCATGGTATCATGCTGTGCCTGATGGGTCATGACGAATTAGACATGCAGCTGGAGTCTTGAAAACCTGTGTGGGTGACAAGACAAATATAATAATAATAAATTAATATTCATCATGTGGTACTAACATCTAGGGCGTTTTTGCAGTTATTACTGTTGTTCACTTGGCCATGAGAAAAGTTTTCTGCAGCAGATCAGCACAATCTGGCCTCTACCCACACAGGTTCCCATCTATACTCCTAAATGTACAGTGTAGGTGGAGAGGCAATTGTAGTAAAGTGTCTTGCCCAAAAACACAAGCAGCTTGCCTGGCTTCCAATTATTCCCACGATCCAGTACTATCGCACAGGAGTTGGACTTCATAGGATCACAACACTCCACAAATTCACATCATTTACATGTAAATTGTGCTCACTTCATTTCCTGACTTCTACCGGTACATGTGAACCGGTACCTTACAAAATGTTGGTGTGTACTACAATCATTGACAATGTAAGATTATAATTATATTCATGAATAAGTGAATTAATAATATGTGCTTGGCCAGTTTTAAACAAGTAGGGCCTATGTTTAAGATCGGTTTGGGGAAAAGACATTTGGCTTGGGCCATTATCGGCGACCAGGCCCCAAACCAGTCTCAAACGGACTTGTTTAAAACCAGCCATTGAAGCACATTTATTCCCATTAATCATAACTTTTAGTCAGTAAGTCAAGATGTCCTAATTTAGACCTTAAAAATCTTAATCTACCGGTACATTTGTACATGCTTTGTGTACATTACACAGTTTAAATGTTGTCATTTTGGGGACATTTAAATGGAAATAAATAAAAATTGGAAATAAATAAATAAATGTACATTGCTGTATCATGCTTGCAAAAGTGTTTAATGCACAGTATCCAAATTGATGAATATTCCTGCACACCGTGGACTTTGAACATCTACAGGCAACGCCTACTGTAAACAATACATCTCATCTAGACAAAACACTAGATGTTTTGTGTATGTAAAGACTTGATGAATTCACCATGTTCACTGGCAAATTGACGGAAATTTTGAAATGTGCTGGTTTCAAGTTTATGCGTAATGGCCGTAACCTTTTTCATATGTTTCTGTACACTTTTTCATCTGCATGAACGAATTTGCTGTGTAAACAAGTGGGTCAACTAACTTTGCGAATTTTATGAATGAGCTGAACTCAAAATGGTAAACATGTGTATGTAACGTGTGTGTGTGTCATAATAGAGTATGGTACAATGTACATTGTTTGTACAAAACAATATGTTTTATTCAGTCAACATACAATAAAAAGTACAGAAAACAAAGGCTACATAAAAATGCACTTAACTTAATGGGGTACTAGGTCCTGAACTCCCCAAATATTTCATGTTTTTGGATCGTTTACTTAGCCTATTCTAAACATCTGGTTCAAAGGAAACCAACCTAATATCTTACCGTTCCCGAGAAAAGACGAATAAAACCTTGGTTGTTTACATCGGACACAACGGAGTACGAATACGGTTTCTTGTCGTTTTCACTTTCAGTCAATGTACATACGATATGTATAGACCGCTTGCAGACGCGTTCGATAATTGACGCGCGAAGGTGCGCGACGCCATGTTGTGGGACAAAATGTGCATGGATAGATATGCGCTTGTCCCACAACATGGCGTCGCGCGCCTTCGCGCGTCGATTATCGAACGCGTCTGCAAGCGGTCTAGTAATATACACAGCACCGTGCTCTTAACTGGATCCGTGCGCAATCTTCGAAAAAAAAAATCTTCCACTTCCAGTTTGAGCGCACATTCTTAAGAATGCGCAACAAGAGAAGCGATCTTTTCGATGCTGAGAACCGGCTGCACTTGGCGAGTCTAGCTGCATCCTCGTTCACTGATTAATTCTTGGGCTGTACTTAAATAATTATACTGTGGCAACGTAAATTGACTAGGGAAAAGATATAACAATGTAAGGTAGAGATGAAAGTATTATGCGTATTGGGGAAAATAATAAGAGACATTGGTAGAAAGAATTCTGATAACAAAAACGTAAAGGCTAACGTGTTCCTAATGATCACTCAGCATGCGTACACGTATGGTGAGGGACTTGTAACTTGTCTAGACTAATCAAAGCACTTCCCAGACTAGTTTCCAGTCCTCCGTTATTACAAAACAGCTTTAACTGTTTAATTGAATTCAAATTATCATAGTTCAACAGGTACAGATGCATAGATCATTTGCTTGTCTCATCATATGATTATTTCCCCTTTAACCTCTAATACGTTTAATTTAAAATAATAAATTAAAATTGTAATAATAATGCCGTGCAGTGTTTGTTAAGATTGCGCAAAATTCAAAAATTGCGCAAGTAGGCCTAAGTAATATTCCCACGCAATCTTAAGAATGAGCGCTCATTCTTCAGATTGCGTGCTCATTCTTAAGAATGCACGCTCGTTTTTAAGAATGCGCGCTCGTTTTTAAGAATGCGCGCTCATTCTTAAGATTGTGCAAATTGCAAGAAAGCGCACAAAGTTAGACCATGGTTAGACCATGGAGCTATAGCTCCATGGTTAGACTTTGTTTTGTACACAACCGGTCACCGGCATGACCGGTGAAATGGCGTCAGGTTGCAACAAACTTGTCATTAGCTCTATAAACATGACCAATTGATCCACTATTACACTGCAAGGTAACACAAACAGTCTATAGTATTTGGCATGTTTGGTAAATGTTTATTGTTACCAATATTGAGGCTGATCAAATGAAAACAGTCAGTCAAGGAAAACATTGAAACTCGTCCTCACCTGCAACCCCTTCACACTCACCGACGTCACATGCATGGTTTGGTGTCAGGTCAACTCGCCCCTGGTCGACTCGCCTCTTACCGACTCGCCCCTTACCGACTCGCCCCCTGACCGACTCGGGCCCCCGACCGACTCGGCCCCCAACCGACTCGCCCCTTACAAGCTCGCCCCCTGGCCGACTCGCTCCTAGCCGACTCGCCAACTCGCCCCCTCGCCGACTTGCCCCCTGACTGACTCGCCCCCGGAATATTATGCACCTACACATTTAGACACACTCTTCATGCTCTTGAGAAAAAAACATGGCCCGGTTAAATTATTCCTAATCAAAATTATTGCACCCGCTTTCGGTTTTATTGCGTCACTCTTCTGTCTATCCCCCCCCCCGCCACCCCCCCCCCCCCCCCCCCCCCCCCCCCCCCACCACATCGAAAAATAATAAGGGAATAAATGTGTGCTCCGGAGGTTTTTATCACTCGTTTAATACCGCTTAGAGTCTGGGTGCTGATAATTACCCGAGCCGGAGGCGAGGGTAATTATCAGCACCCAGACTATAAGCGGTATTAAACAGAGTGATAAATACCGACCGAGCACATATTTATTCCCATTCATAAATACCTTATCCGTAAAAAATATCAAATAATTCGTTCAAAAAATCCCGATTTTGTTCAACAAGTTCACTTCATGCTTTTTGAAACATCCCTCTAGCAAAATAATGGAGTGTTCTGCTGGCGAGTAAGATGTAAACAACCCTTTTATGGAGATTGACGCGCGCGTAACATGTTCTGCGCGATGTCACGCAGAACGCACCTGGGGCGTTGCGTTTTGAATTTAGAACTATAAAATTCTGACTCGCTTGTAGTGTTGCGCATGCCTACGTGAGGATTGTGAACGTTCAACCAATGAAACGGTAAGAGGCACTGGATTTTTAGGAGTCCACATTTTATTGTGACACTGGAAAAGTGTTTAAGACCAGCTAGCCATGTCTTTATCATCCGTTTAAGACCGGCCACGTGACGGGCTCTCGACCAATAGGAATAGCTAAACTGTCTGAGGTATTTATGAATAGTAATTAAATACTGTTTAAAAATGTGCTCGTTTATTCAGAAATTCATGAAGCATATTCAAACTGATCGGTCGTTTCCAAAGTGTCTTTCCCATTTGCAAAAGTTCTTTTTAAAAAAAAGCCCATGGGGGCATGCAAATTGTGCGTATGCAAGTTCGGGTCTTTTCATCGGACAATTTTTAAAAGGTAGAACCTAGGAGCCTAGGAGATTTCTTTTATTTCCGTTGAAGAGTAAAGATTTCCCTTACAAAAACACCTTATTATTTTATATTCCCTGACGTGCCTTTATTTGCACACCCCGCCCCCAATCACCCAGAAATAATAAAACGTCATTTCAGCTGGGTTTTGTTACTTTTGTAGTAGCTTGACCTCCCCCGCCAACAACTAAAACAAAAATAGGCAAAATACCGACAACCTTCCAAGGATCATGATCAAGTGTCTCACATCTTTCAAGTTTTATTTATTTTGTTTAATTCCTTAGTCTTATTGACGTACAAATATTTAACCAATTCATACAAACAAATACAAAAGATTGCAAATGAGGGGAAAAGTTGGGCAGAAGGCCAATAAATTTGAGAGATTAATAATCACTTTATAATATCATAGATGATTATTACATAAGCAACGACTACATGACTGTACACGGTAAATCCAGGTTTTTGTATTTCGCCATTTTGTGAAAAAGATTTTCAAAAGGGAAGATAAAACTGGGGAATGCCCCCCCCCCCTCCAAAAAAAAAATTCCTAGATTATTTTGAAACATTTCAGGACTATATTTTGTCTAATTTAGCTATTTGATGCCAGGCAAGTTCAACACTCGATATATATTGCGTTTATCCTTTTGTGAGGTTAGTTATTAATAAGAAAATGAAAAGACATGCAAAACCACCAAGAAAAACAATTGTGCATACTAAGTAAAAATATAACAAATAAAAAAAGTGCAATGAAATAAATCACAAAAGGATAAACACAAATGTAATTTGAGTGTCACTCATACCTGTTGCAATGCATTTTGATGGATAGAAGTTCCTGAACAGTTTATTCTTTAAATTTTCCTAAACATTAAACGTTCTTGTGTTTTCTAATAAATGTACAATGGAAAGAAAGTCACGTTTTAGTTAAACCGACGTCTTGTTAAAGACGTTAAATTTAAATAAAGTTTGCTACATTTCTTCAGTTTTTAAACAATAAATCAATCCTTTTTAAAATCTTTCAAAACTCTTAAAACTTAAATTGGTTTTCTTAAAATTGCACTTTCAATATCAAATTAAATATATAGAGCAAAATTCTCATTGTCAACTGAACAAAAAGCAAATACAAAGCGTTAGGGGAGACCTCGTTTATAATTTACCGAGAAGATCCAATTGAATGCATTAAAGGTAAGGAGTATGATGATATTGATGCAATAATTTTGGATGACCCAGGACAGATCAAAGGAACATCCCTTCTCCCAGACATGTCACTGCTGAAAAGCCAGTGACAAATCATTACCCTCACAATAATTTTTCAGCAAGTTTCCATTATTGTCCATTGTTAACTGTCTGTTGCAGTATCCGGTTTAAGATTATTTTAGAGGCATAAATAATTTAATGAAATCAAAATTACTTTTCATTTTATTTTAGTGTTGTTGCCTTAGTGTATAACATTAATGACGTTGCATTATGCAGTCGATTGATTATTTCATATTGTGCAAGCTAGTTTTTTATAACTAAGTTTCCGATGAGGGCATCCTTGTCCAGTAGAGCAGCTTCGTCATTGTCCAGTCTCGTCCAAGCTTGACAAAAACATGTCCTAAACATGACAAAATAAGCAAGCAAATTTAAAAAAAATACATATATTAGGAAATCAAGCACTGTGGATTTTGTAGGAGGGACAAACTACAATCAGAGGAATAACAAATTATAATCCTCATACCCTGGTCTTTTTTCGTTTTCAAAGTAAACTCACCTCAAGAATCAGAAATGGCCAGGCCAGCAGGCGGTGTCAGTCCATCGTCGGTCCTCCCAGCTTACGATGGCTTGAAGCAGGCTCATCCTCATCTCAGTAAGACAATACCCTCATCAGTCAGTGGTCCTCATTTCTCTACAAGGATTCAAATGACGAAAAAAAAATATCTGAAATATTATTAAGAAATATGTGCAAGGAGAAAGAAAACTTCGATTTTTACCCCACAAAGCAACACAACTCTATACCAGCACTCGTTGTGGAAGAACACAGAAAAGTGCTAATCACCAATTTTGAGTTCTGTGACTAAGACGAAGCCTTCATGTAAACTAACTTCAAGAATCAGTCATTGGAAGCCCAGCAAGTAGGTCATCCGTTCATCTGTCGGTCCCCCTTCCTGCTTCCGGTTCCTCGAGTTTCTGTGTGATGAGGCTGTTGGAGCCTTGGAGGGTTCATTTTTGTCCAGACAAAGCAGCCTAGCTCATCCATGTGATGCAGTCTCAACTTTTAGATCATCAGTTTCTTTGATGAAAGCTGCAACTCTTTCCTCAGTGGACAGGGGTATGAAAACACTAGGCCTAGCCCATTTGTTACTTAAGTGAAACATTGCAAATGTAGCCAATAATTATGTCTAAGCCTACCTATAACCAAGTCATGGGTAGGACCCAATGGAAACCAAACGATTCTAGCCATGTTTCCATTATTTCCTTTTTAAAACAGACACGATTACTTTGTCATAATGTGCCGACGCTGATAATGGCAGGTTCCTTTGGAAACTGTATATACATGTACCTCGCACACTAAATAAACAACCATTAAAAAAAAATTCACGTGACATTAAGATGACAAAATGCCATCTTAATCCTTGCCGATCCCTTCCAAATCGGACTTACATTGAACATATATAGTACTATACGGAGGGAGGGTTACACGTAGGCTAAAATCAACAAGGAAATAGTAGTTTTCTATGTAACTCTAAACCTGTCGCATATCTTGAAATGCTTTCTTTTGAAATTTACGTTAAGTAAGGTGTACTCGTAGCCCACAAAGATTTGATCGTGAAAGTCTATATTAGACCGATCTCTAACTACTGCAACGCCTTTTTCCGTTATGGTTTTCGTGTTCTCCCCTTCAATAAAACAGCACTGTCGACCTTATGCGTTATCAAAGGTCAAAGTAAGACAACCAAATGAGTAACTCAAAGGAGAAATATAAACTTGATGAAAACATGTATCCCTGCCGATCTTTCCAAATCGGACTCACATAAATGATGTAGATTAAAAACACGAAGAAATGTCGCATGCGATGGTAAATATGTCGCATGTCGCACTGTACAGCCATTTTCCCTATCGCCGCTTTGTTGATTACACATAAGTTGTACCCTTTCACATGCATAACCTGGCTATTTCTGGCCTTTTTGAAGGCAAACTTCTTGACAATGTCACAAATTGCAGTTATTTTAGCTGACGAATAATACTTAAAAGATACGGTGTAGGCCTAGAACTTGGGGGGAATGCCTTTAACATGCTGCTTTAATTGAAATTCAGTCATTTTCTTTACATCGACATAATGGAGTTTTTCCTTAATTTCCGTCATTTTTTAAAACTTTTTTCTGCCGTCATTTTCCCCACCGCGGTGCACCGTTTACCGAATTCGGTTTCCGGCTTTTTTAAGCAGTGAAGTACCGTACCGGAAGTGGCTGCCGATTATAATTTGAATTTTTTTTGTTAACATTATTTCGGTCATTTTCTTTAGCAAATTTTTGCATGGCATAGGGCTTAGAAGTTTAGAAAATTACCGATTTTCAAATATTTATTTCTTTCGCTGCCGCTGTTAATCTTTTTACCGTAATTTTCGTCTCTTTAATTTGGTTCTTCCGCTATCGATTTTTTTTTCACTTTGTACGTAAGAAAAATAACACTGATATCAAGTATTATTTCTCTCACTAAAGCTGTGATTTTTTTAGCCGTGTAAACTATGTTTCGTCACTTCACTTATATGTCGCGTTGATTTTCGGTGTAACTTTCGTAATTTTCCTGTAGCTACCTGTAGAAACAGAGTGCCATGCTTCGAGAAGAATCTCCACGTATATACTATGTGGTTTTCGTTGTTATTTAATTTGGACCGATTTGATTTTTGTTTCCATGTTTCGTCACACGCGTTTAGTCAAATATTTCAAAAACAACACTGATTTCAGTTATTTTCGGCGTAAATTTCATCATTTTCTCAGCCACTTGTTAGATGGAAGCAGAGAAGCATTTCTGTGAGAAGAAAATCCGCTTATGATTTGATTTTCACTGCAATGTACTTTTAACACACATTTGACTATTTTTCTTCAATTTTCGTCATATTCGTTGTCAAATATTTCAGGTATAGGTATCTCAGTAAAGTTAACAAGTAACAGCGATTTAAGCTATTATTTCTTCCAATTATAGCGGTATCTTTGGCGTAAGAATTCGTATTTTAGTCGTTTTGATGTTTTATAATATTGCAAAATAATATGCAGTCTGATTTTTGATCCAATATTCCGCAAATCGGAAAGTGTCTGATGAGGGCATCGTTGTCAAGATAGAGCAGCTTCGTAATTTTCCAGTCTCATCCAAGCTTGGCGGTCCTCATCTTCTAAAACATTACAAAAAGAGTAAACTAGAACAAAATTAGAATTAATATTTAAAGAGGAAATCAAGCATCGTAAGAGGTGACATAGTATTAAAGGAATAACAAATTTAAGTGTTGGCCTACATATCCCTGGTCTCTTTTCAAGTAAACATACCTCAAGAATCGGTAATGGCCAACCAAGCAGGCAGTGTCAGTCAACCGTCGGTCCTCCCAGCTTATGGCAGCTTGAGGCAGGCTCATCCATCATAGGGCAATTCCCTCACCAGTCAGTGGTCCTCATGTCTGTAAAAAGATTCAAATGACGAAAGAAAATATCCAAATTATTATTAGAAAATATCTAAAAGGTAGAGCAAGAGGGGGGGGGGGAGAAATGTTCGAATTAACCCAACAAAGCAGTGTCCCACTACCAGCACTCTTTATTTGTGGGAGAACATAGAAGAGCGCCAGATCACCCATTTTGATTACTTGTTTCTGCTTATTCTTTAGGTACATGTAACTAAAAGCTAACCTCAAGAATTAGTAATGGGAAGCCCAGCAAGCAGGTCATCCGTTCATCTGTCGGTCCTCCTCCCTGCTTCCGGTTCCTCGAGTTTCTGTTTGATGAGGCTATCGGAGCCCTGACGATGTCTTGAGGCAGGCTCATCCTCATTTCAGTAGAGAAATTCCCTCATCAGTCAGTGGTCCTCGCTTTGCTGAAAGGATTCAAATAACGAAAGGAAACATTTGAATTATTGAGCTGTATTCGTGCCAGGGCTCGAAAGGGGAAAGAAAACATTGAATTAACCCCACAAAGCAAAGCCCTGCTACCAGAACTCGTTTGTGGACGAACATAATAACAGAGTCAGATCGCCCATTTAAATGGTTCTGTGACTTGATTGTTCCTGTTAAGAGAAGGCCTACATGTAAACTAACCTAATAATCAGGAATGGGAAGCCCAACAAGCAGGTCATCCGTTCATCTGTCGGTCCTCCTCCCTGCTTCCGGTTCCTCGAGTTTCTGTTTGATGAGGCTCAGTGTTGGAGCCCTAACGAGTCTTGAGGCAGGCTCATCAATCCCAGTAAAGCAATTCCCTCATCAGTCAGTGGTCCTCATGTCTGTAAAAAGATTCAAATGACGAAAGAAAATATCCAAATTATTATTAGAAAATATCTAAAAGGTAGAGCAAGAGGGGGGGGGGGGGAGAAATGTTCGAATTAACCCAACAAAGCAGTGTCCCACTACCAGCACTCTTTATTTGTGGGAGAACATAGAAGAGCGCCAGATCACCCATTTTGATTACTTGTTTCTGCTTATTCTTTAGGTACATGTAACTAAAAACTAACCTCAAGAATTAGTAATGGGAAGCCCAGCAAGCAGGTCATCCGTTCATCTGTCGGTCCTCCTCCCTGCTTCCGGTTCCTCGAGTTTCTGTTTGATGAGGCTATCGGAGCCCTGACGATGTCTTGAGGCAGGCTCATCCTTATCTCAGTAGAGCAATTCCCTCATCAGTCAGTGGTCCTCGCTTTGCTGAAAGGGTTCAAATAACGAAAGGAAACATTTGAATTATTGAGCTGTATTCGTGCCAGGGCTCGAAAGGGGAAAGAAAACATTGAATTAACCCCACAAAGCAAAGCCCTGCTACCAGAACTCGTTTGTGGACGAACATAATAACAGAGTCAGATCGCCCATTTAAATGGTTCTGTGACTTGATTGTTCCTGTTAAGAGAAGGCCTACATGTAAACTAACCTAATAATCAGGAATGGGAAGCCCAACAAGCAGGTCATCCGTTCATCTGTCGGTCCTCCTCCCTGCTTTCGGTTCCTCGAGTTTCTGTTTGATGAGGCTGTTGGAGCCCTAACGAGTCTTGAGGCAGGCTCATCAATCCCATTAGAGCAATTCCCTCATCAGTCAGTGGTCCTCATTTTCCTAAAAGGATTCAAATGACGAAAGGAAACATTTGATTTATTGAGCTGTAATCGTGCCAGGGCTAGAAAGGGTAAAGAGAACATTGAATAACCCCACAAAGCAAAGCCCCGCTCCCAGAACTCGTTGTTTGTGGACGAACAAAGAAGAGCGCCAGATCGCCCATTTTGATTAGTTCTTGATTGTTTCTGTTTAAGCAGGCTACATGTACACAAACCTGATAGTCAGTAATGGGAAGCCCAGCAAGCAGGTCATCCGTTCATCTGTCGGTCCTCCTCCCTGCTTCCGGGGAATTAGTGAGCTGTATTCGTGCCAGGGCTAGAAAGGGGAAAGAAAACATTGAATTAACCCCACAAAGCAAAGTCCGCTACCAAGAACTCGTTCTTTGTGTTAGAACATTATAACAGAGTCAGATCGCCCATTTTGATGAGTTCTGTGACTTGATTGATCATGCAAAAAGGAGGCCAACATGTAAACTAACCTCGAGAATCAGTAATGGGTAGCCCAGCAAGCAGGTCATCCGTTCATCTGTCGGTCCTCCTCCCTGCTTCCAGTTCCTCGAGTTTCTGTGTGATGAGGCTGTTGGAGCCTTGGAGGGTTCATTTTCGTCCAGACAAAGCAGCCTAGCTCATCCATGCTGTCTCATCAACTTTTAGATCATCAGTTTCTTTGATGAAAGCTGCAACTCTTTCCTAAGTGAACATGGTTACGAAAACACTGGGCCTAGCCCATTTGTTACTGAAGTGAAACATTCCAAAGCAAGCCTACCTGTAATGAGGCCACTTGTTACCAAATGGAAACTAAACGATTCTACCCATGTTTCCACTATTTACTTTTAAGAACAGATATGATCTTTTTTGTCATAATGCACATGAACATGTGCCGACGCCGATAATGGCAGGTTGCCAATAAGTTGTACCTTTCACAATGTACCTTTTTTGGTGTGTGTGTGTGTGGGGGGGGGGGGGGGGGGGGGGGGCAATAAGGTCGTTTTGAAGGCACTTCTCGACAATGCAAACAATTTTGATGTTTTTGAAATGCCGCTGTATATAACTGAAATTCAGTCATTTTCTAAACAGATATTTTGTTCATTATGGTGTGATTGTTTTCTCGTAATTTCGTCAATTTCATTTTCTTTTGCTGCCGTCATTTTCCCACCGTTTGCCTCAAAAAATCGGAAAGCGAATTTTGGCAATGTAGAACCGGTATTCACTGCTCGGCATAATTTCATACTTTTTTTCAATCTTAATTTCGGTCTTTTTTTCTCTGTGGCCAAATTTGGAAAGGGATCGAAGTTTAGAAATTAGCACCAATTTGCAAGTACATGTACATGTATTTACTTCTCTCGTTGCAGATGATTAATTTCTATGCCGTTATTTTCGTCATTTTGATTTGTTATTTCCATAACCAATTTTGTTTACTTTCAGGTATTTTTACTCTCATTAACGCTGTGATGTTTTCCTCGCGTTATTTTCATCATTTTCCTAGCGTGTAGGCCTACACGTAGAAAGCGGAGTGATTTTTTTTTCGGAAAAAAATTCGCTTACGATGTGATTTTCGCTACAATTTATTTTGGACCGATTTGAATCTTGTATTCAGTTTTCGTCATACGCGTAGTCAAGTAAATATCCGGGTAGGTATTGCAGTAAAAGGTAAAAAATAACACCGAACTCAGGTATTATTTATTCCAATACTGCCTAACATTTTAAAGTTGATTTCGTATTTTCGTCAATTTGAGGCTTGTCGCTTCAAAACCGTAACATTTTTTGCCCGACGTATTGCAGTTGAGAAAAAAATAACACTGATTTCAAGTATTATTCCTTTCGACGTCTGCTTCGATTTTGCTTAACGATTTGACATTTTCGTAGCCAACGATTTATGTGATTTAAAAACATTTAATTGTGTCTATTGTCAGAGACAACAGACGGATACCATTAAAAACAAATCACACCACACAGAGAGCAATGCACACTAAGGCAAAAAATCAAACATGCAACATTTACAATGAAACAAAATACAATCTACTTTTGAGTTTTTTCCCCCAAAAGTCATTCTCTCTGTAAGCATTATTTACTCACAGATAAGTTTATCTTTAAATACTTAATAATGAACCGATCTTAAAAGGTCTTCACAGAATAAAAATGTCTTTTATATAAATTTATGCAAAGTATAATTAACCAACGTTATGACTTTTGATTAAATATGGTCAACTGTCAACTGTGCCCTCACTTCTCACAATGTGGCGCTTTTACAGACGCTGTTAATCCCAGATTTGTTTTACTTTTCAGTGTTACTATAAGAGCGTATATGTCACCTTAACAGGGAGCTCATTTAGGAATTAGCGTTAATTATTAACCAACAGTTTTTTTCTGTATGGCTATTGAAGTAGTAACGTCCTTCCGTGTTAAGTGGTCTAAGTTTTAATGTTCAAGTTCTTCTGAAGGAAGGGGCCTCTTGGAAATCGGCGCTACTAATATGCACCGAAGAGGGTATCCCTTACCAGTGACACTGCACCAGGCATGGTCACTGTCAGTTGCCGATGGCCTAGATTTTATGAATGTTGTTTGCTCTTAAAGGGAATGTACATCATTGGCTTTTGCTGTAATTTTCAGAAATGAACTATTTGAGGGGTTAGTATAATAGATCAAATATAGTTTAACTGACATGTTTGAAGTTTTGTGTTCGAAAATGCTTGAACAACCAAGAAAAACACAACTGTTTATGTAGTCTGGTTCCCTGACTCCACTAAAGATAAAATGGATCAATTATAGATGTCGGAAAATTGTAAGATAAGGGAACCAGTCTAGCTGGCCTGCACCTGTTCATGAACATGTAACCAATAGCAAACAAAATTTGGACTGAAAAAAATTGTAAGTTTGGAGCAGTAGTTGAAAAATAGTTAGGTTTTCCAACGGTGGTCGGCCGACCACCGTTGGAAATGTATACAAAAATACCATTTTCTTGAAAATGACTCGACACCAGGTGCCATGATTTTACAGGATACTTTAGACTGTAATTTACCAACATCCTAGTAAGGTATTTCGTACAAACTTGGTAGTTTTATTTTTCGATGTTTGCAAATGTTGTATATTCCCTTTAAACATTTTATACAATCATAAAGAAATTATATCGTCGTTGGTGGACAACGCACCAGGCCTGCCACTTTCTGTAGTTGTTTTACTAACTTTGTTTAATTATTGTTTTGAGTTGGGCAAAGTACCAGCCAATGTCCGTATAGAGGGCAGCATTCCAGTGGATCGATAAAACATCACAAAATGACTCTCAATCAATTACAAAATCGACTTTAAATTTGCGAGTGAAGTTTCTTAATAGCTAAAATAAAATACACCAGTACTTTCAAGTTTAGAGGGACAGTGTTATTCATTAGACTGATTTTCGTTTGCATTAAGTTAGTGTTAGTGTTATTTTTTTTTTTTTTTTTTTTTTTTTAGAAAACTTCTAAAACTCCCCATTGCACTGCCTGCAGGCTCAATGTGCGCATGCTCGCAGCAGGCTATGCTTGCTCCCTAATTTTTGTTTTCTTCATTTTCCCTAACACTGTTCATTGCACTTTGCAGTTCCTAAGTTTTATAACATTCCGAAGTATGGTACACGAAATCGCGCTATTACGCAGGTACGCGGATATGCGGATACGCGGGTACGTGGGTACGAAGACCAAGAGGAGATGAACATATTGTTCTTATTTAGGGCCTACTACTATACATATGACAATCACAACGTACGTACGTGATACATTTAATTAATCACATACGTATACTTGTGACAATATAATATTACGTACTAACGTAATATTAGTACTATCATTGCGTACATACCTGATAAATAAGTACATATTACGTACGTACATGTATTGCATATGTAAGTGATAACGTGTATCCTTAAACGAGTATACGTTGTGTATACGTACTTAATAATTATCACGTGGGCCCTACGTACGTAATAATTATCACGTGGGCCCTACGTGATAATATTACCTACGTACGTGATAATATTCAAGTACGTGCGTGAGTTACGTACGTACGTGACAATAACACATACGTAATAGTATTGTGAAAATGAAAAACAAAATAACTCCCATGTCCCTTCACGGTCTTCGTACCAAACCGTCTCCGGTCTAGCCAAAAAAAAAACAAAAAAAAAAAACGAGTTTGCCGAACATTACGTATGAATATGCCTTATTGTCGCACGGAAAAGCGATAGAACGCGGTGCGGAGGTTTCTAAACGCGTATGAGAATATTTCGCCGAATCTAAATGCATTGAACATTATCTAAATGCCTATAACATAACATTAATACTCCAACAGATCCAGCAGCTGCTTTGCTTTGCGGATGCTGCATAATGCACGCCTGCAGCGTCGCACTCCTCCCAACTTGACCTACAAAAAAACTAATTAATTGTTTGCATCACTTGCACAAACGTTTTGCCCAGAATGTTGATTAGGTTTTATATTGTTTCAATTTATTTTTTAGTTTCTGAGACAGAGGTGGAGAACGTCTTTTAACCTTCTCCAGAAAGGGAGTTACATAAGACCTGCAAGTCAATGTGACAATGAAGGAGACACTGTCACAGGTTTATCATTGAAAATACTGGTGTAAATGAGCGAGTTAAATTATTCAGAGACAACAATTTGAAAAAAAAAAAAATTCCACTGGAATGCTACCCTTCAACTGTTCCACGTGCGAACACAATGTCACTGCACGTGTCTGACGAATTCTTTCGAAATTGTATTTTCTCCCCACGTGCGAACACAATGTCACTGCAAATTTCAGACGAATTTCTATGCAAATGTTATATTCAACGTGCGAACGCAATGTCACTGCACGTATTTTATGAATTCCTATATGCAAATTAACACACGTGGGAACACAATGTCAATGCACGTGACAAATTCCTATTGGCATTGCATTATATTGAATAAAATAATCATTTTCGTTCAACCTTAAATCTGCTGTAATTTATCTTCCCATGTAAACTTTTTTTTAACATCCAATGAAATTTAAAGGGAATGTACATCATTGGCTTTTGCTGTAATTTTCAGAAATGAACTATTTGAGGGGTTAGTATTATAGCTCAAGTATTGTTTATCTCACATGTTTGAAGTTTTGGGTTCGAAAGTGCTGGAAAAAGCCAAGCAAAACAAAAATGTTTAAGTAGTCTGGTTCCTTGTCTCCACTAAAGATAAAATGGATCAATTTATAGATGTCGGAAAATTGTAAGGCTGGCCTGCACCCGTCCATAAACATGTAACCAATAGCAAACAAAATTTGGACAAAAAAGTTGGAGCAGTAGTTGAAAAATAGTTAGGTTTTTCCAACGGTGGTCGGCCGACCACCGTTGGAAATCTATACAAAAATACAATTTTCTTGAAAATAATTAGACACCAGGTGCCATAATTTTACAGGATGCTTTAGACTGTCATTTACCAACATTCTAGTAAGGTATTTCGTAAAAACTTGGTAGTTTTATTTTTCGACGTTTGAAAATGTTGTATTTTCCCTTTTAAGGAGTTCTCTGTTTCAGGTGACAAAACTCTCTACTTTTACCAGAGCTTCCTAAACAAATTAAAGCATTTTACTGCCTTGAAATGAAGTAATTTATCCGCTCAGCCAGAAAACAATTCCTGGCCGGCCAGTGGCTTTTTGCAGTCTCAAACTTTATATCTAAACTGCTTCGGATTAACGGAGCCTATAGCCACGCCCCATTTTATTTACAAACGTGCGAACGCAATCACTACATGCGTCTTTCGAATTTCTATGCATAGATATAGAATAAAAAGACTAGATCGGCAGTGCGTTCACACGCGCCCATTCATTGTGCGATAAATCTCCGCGTTTTGTATTGTGTCTCGTGGACGCGCAACAAATTAACGTAAATTAACGGAGCTAAATGTATCTTTCCTCCAGCACCGTGACCACTAAGCTCAACGCGCGCGAAGCAAGAAATACGCACCAAGTATTAACGCGTCGTCACGTTTTCGCGCATTATTTGTATCTTTCCTCCAGCACGTGACCCTCCATGCAAGTCAGCGCGTGTGGACGCGCTACCGATCTAGTCTTTTTATTCTATCTATGTTTCTATGCAAATTAAACGTGCGAACGCAATGTCACTGCACGTGTAGGCCGAAATATTATTCAAATGTTATATTCTACGTGCGAACACAATGTCACCGCACGCGTGAGACAAATCCCTAATCACTTATTATCGCTTATCCCCAAGTTATACTTTATACACAAATAAAGGCCTTACACTTACTTAAAGATATAGTCCATCATTTGTAATTAGTGCATTTTGTTTGTTTGAAGCAACAAAAGGGTTCAAAATCTAATGAAGGATACTGAGCAACTAACCTGATGAAGTTTCAGCTCAGCTTCAGCTGTATATTCCGAGAAAAGCAGCATTCTAAGATCTCAATTTCAAATCAAAAGTTACTGAATCATGTTTTGAACTGTTTTGAATTGCAGCTATACGCGGCGTCGCGCACTGATCCGACGAATTATAACCGCGCGCGCGCGTTCGTGGTTCCAATACTTGTGCGCGCTGCGCTGAATAACAAAACGAACTACTAATTTAAATTTTCCTACGGTGCTTCTTAAGAATCACCGTTGGAAAGGCCTTCTTTCGTTGATTACTTCAAAATGACAGCTTCCCAGAAAGAATAATTTCACAGGGAGTTTAGTTCCCTTACTATCTTTCAACCAAGTTTGTTTTTCAACAGTAATTACGCCAGTTACTTTTCGGATGGCTGCAAATGATGGACTATAGCTTTAAAGTGGCCCTAGATTTTGGTAGGAGAACCTTAGGCTATTTATACACATGTACATTAATCAGAGACATGTAACGTACCTCTTTCTACTCTTGAAGACATTGCCCCTCTTGATGTTGATCTTGGAGTAAATGGTAACGATGTCTTTGTTAATACAATATAAATTGGACACAATGTGCACGTTCAATTAGAATAAACAATTTTATACCGAGCCAAAATGATAATTATGAACAGTGTAATGAGTTGCATGCAGTGAGCGTGAGGAGCACAACGACAGTAATGAAGGCCTAGCCCAGCACCGAAACAACAGCTTAAGATAAAGCCCGTGCACGCTACGTCGCTGTACCATGGTGATCAGCGAGGCATGAATGTAACAATAGGGATGGAGTCTGAGTGGAAATCTTCTAAACACATTAGTTGCATAATGTCATTCAGCACAAGCCTGGGTTATAAATGAGAGTCGGATACAATGCTAATGACGTAATCCCGATGGGCGATTACATTTTGGTCACGAGACTTACTTAGAGGGGTGGCACAGTTTCATACTGATCAACTTAATGAGTTGAAAACAATTGCCTGTTTAAATACATTTGTGAAGGACGAAAACGAAATGTTTCTTATTAAAAAACATGCAAATGAAAAGTGGTTTTGGGGGGCTGCACCCACTTTTTGGGGTTAAATTTTGGACTGACCGGTTACAGTCGCATCACCGGGGCACTTGCTCAATAAAAGGCATCGTCCGTTGGTGAAGCAGCGTATCCAGTTTTTTTTAGGGGGGGGGGGGGCACATCCGTGCTGAACTTGATGTCGACATGTTTTTTTCACCGGACACTTGGCCTCCGTAAAATCAAATGGGGGGAGGGGGCTGGGCTAGTACCAAAGTTACAAAAATTGGAGCGCTCTTCGAAACCGGACATTTTATTCTGGTTCTGTATCTGGTGGAATATACTGCATGCATAATCTCATCACAAGGATATCTTGGAAAAAAAATATTGACAGTGCGGGAACATAGTATGTTCCCGCACTGTCAATATTTTTTTTTTTTAAATCCCTTTCCGCAAGAGAAGAGGGTAATCGGTACAGCTGTGCTAATGTGTTTCCAACCCAAATTCTTCATAAAAGATCAATATTATTGCCCGATCGTAGCATGAAAATAATGACAGTGCGGGAACATAATATGTTCCCGCACTGTCAATATATATTTTTTTAAATCCCTTTCCGCAAGAGAAGAGGGTAATCGGTACAGCTGTGCTAATGTGTTTCCAACCCAAATTCTTCATAAAAATCAATATTATTGCCCGATCGTAGCATGAAACCCAATGGAGCCAAATTATTCAAACGCCACTTTTGAAGGGTTTCCGGTACAAATGCAAGAAACTATTGATCTTTTATGAAGAATTTGGGTTGGAAACACATTAGCACAGCTGTACCGATATTCGCGGAGTGCCCGGGGCCTATCGCGCGTAGCAGCCGGTCTATTTCGCGGTCCGTTCATGGTGACTGCGGGTGCGCGGCGGCACATGTACCGCGTTCACCGTTTGTAAATCTCAACTTTAGGTCCTCAGTTTCATTAAAAAGTATTTTAAGAATTAAGGATGTATATTGTGAAAATAAAAAAAACATGTATTTGTTTGGTGTTCTTAAAATGTTATAGGAGGAGCTGAGGCTCAACTTTGAGAATCAAAACCGAAACTCAGATAACGAAGCTTATTTGAACGTGATTTACCCTCTTCTCTTGCGGAAAGGGATTTTTTATTTTCATGTGTGACCTTTTTATTATTGGTTAATATTACCATTTATTATAATAATTATTGTTATTGTACCAGAAATCATTTGAAATGGCGTTTAAATAATTTGGCTCCATTGAGATTCACGACACGACCGGGCATGCAATGTGATCCAGGGGGCAAGTCGGTCAGGGGGCGAGTCGGCAAGGGGCGAGTCCGCTAGGAGGCAAGTAGGCGTGGGGGCGAGTCGGCCAGGGGGGCGAGTCGGTAAGGGGCGAGTCAGTCACGGGGCGAGTCGGTCACGGGGCGAATCAGTCAGGGGCGAGTCGGTAAGGGTCGAGTCGGCCAGGGGGCGAGTTGACCTGCAATCTGATTTTTGTTTATTTTATACTAAACTAAAGTTGCACACAAGTCTAGCGCTCAATATTTGTGTTTCATGTGCTAAATTAAATTATTAGAAATGTCACTTTGACTAAAGTTTAATGTTCGAATGAATACACAACTTCTTTTTGGTTTTCGTATAAAAGTAGACACTTTTATCGATTTTTATGTTTACCAAGAAACTTGCTTTAAAGTTTAAATAAAGTTTCAACCAGAATAAATTAAAATGAAGACAGACTTGTACAAGTTTAATAGCACCGCAATGGGGGAGAAATGACCGGTCTCAAAACCTTCTGCAGGTATTGGAAAATAGCGCAAAACGCGGATGGCACCAGTCGATATTGACACACGTACACAAAATGGACGATTTGGAGGTTCCGTCTCTTCGCTCTCTCAGCGATTTCCTCCTAGAATCGGCTCGGTTCTCTACGCCTGCTATAAACGACCCTTCAAGATGGGCCAACCGTGTTATAGACAACCTTTTGTACTATCAAACCAACTACTTTTTGACTGCAGTACTGGTATTTCTGATAGTTGGGTGGGTGTCACAGACATGTCAATTGTCAATGTCAAAATATAGCAAATACAAATAGCCTTGGCCTATAGCCTAGCTAGCCTCTAGTCTTAGTCTTATACTATAATTAGTATTATCGTCAGTCAGCCTCGACGCCATGGGCGCGTGATGACGTAAATGACGCTGATTGGCTATTCACAGCGACTAGCGTACTGCGCACATTTCGAAGATTGCACGTCCACCTAAACCGACGAGGATCGATTTCGACGCACTCAAATTCAATTTGCGTTGGACAACGCGCGCGCATTGCAAGCGTTACCTGTGCCGATTATGGTGACTTGAGGATTCAAGGGTGATCGTGTAGTGTAGGGCCCCTGTTTTGGTTTTGTTTTGATCAAATTAGAGTCAAAAATTTGGGGTAGAATAACTAGAAATCACAATTTCCCCATGTTTCGTGCGCAGTTTGTGCCTTGCGATTCAGCGCATTGGTCGTGCGGTGATCGCCGTCTTTATTTTCGGGTTGCATGTTGTCGCCGAGCTGTCATCGTCATTTTACCCCCAAATTTCCCTAAAAAAATCAAAACCCTGCCCTATAGCTATGACAAACCTGTTTATTGAGAATGTCGCAAACTAGTTTGGTCGGTCGTTTTAAAGTGGATTTTATTCCCTTAGGCCGAGGGAATGAAAGTCATAGAATACCGTCCTGCTGATTTTGGAAAAATAATGAGGCTTTTTTTCATTATTCTGAAGCACTAACCAGAATCATGTAAAATCGTACTGATAGGTATCATGTTGTTGGTATCATCATGGAGCTCCATGGTTCTGGTAACCGCGCGCTATACATTGTATGCGTGTATTGTTATGTACCACGTGTTCACCGTACTCTGTACGCGTGGGCAGATTGGGTTTTGCGCCAATGTGGTACACAGAATACGACTATTCTGCGTTATAAAAATTGTGTGGAGCGGATTCTGATAAAATTAGAAGTAAACTGTTGTGGCAGATTATTCTGGGTGAATAATGATTTTTTTTGTACGGTATTCTATGACTTTCATTCCCTCGGCCTTAAAAGAACTGGGCCCTACACTACACGATCACCCCTGTTTTGTTTTACCGGTAATCAAATTTGAGTCAAAATGTTTTTATTGCTCAAAAGATCACCTTTACAATCCAAAGCAATTGCCAATTCTAATGCACATATATATCAATTGTCACTATTTTGTCTTTTTATTTGTTTCCAACAAAAGTATAGCTATGAGCCTATGTAGAGAAGGTAAATGGCTCCTTTGAATAATTGAACTGAAGAATCCATTCACGCAGACCACTTTCTTGGAAAATCCACAATCTTGAGGGCAGAGGTGGGTGGGGGGGGGGGGGGAGGGAGAGATAAAGGGCCGGTCTGCTAGACTTGGTAACTGGGGCACTAGAATTTTTTTCTTCCAATTTTGAATTTGGTTGGTCACACTTTTTATTGGTTGCCGACAAAAATATGCAAGATCAACATCTGGTAGGAAGGGTGGTGTTTTTTTCTGGACGCAGAGGTATCGGCAAAAGAGTCGAGAAAATGGAAGAATTGATCCATCATTTTGGTTAAAAAAGACTAAAAGGGGCTGCCTACTTCTTTTTTTTTAAGCCCAGATGAACATTTTTTTTTACTCGGCTTGAGTATTTCACCTATTTTACTAGAACAGCGTGATTACACATGCTGATGTGTGCATCTGTCTGTTTTACCCAAATTTATCAAGTCCTCAATCTATCATGCATACATGTACGTGTGATAAAGAAAATTTCTCAAGGATTACAAATTTCTACTCCCAATCCAGGACTATGAACCCCAAAGCCATGCTGATGGGCCTCCTCACTATGGTCGTCATCTTTGCCATCTTCGTCTACACCACCAGTAACCGGGTGGAGATGCACAGATTCAAGCGGAGCCATCCCTTTGTCTGCTTCCTCCTGATCCTGCTGTGCTGCTTCTTGTTGCTCAAGGTGTTTGGTGGGCTGCTGGTGTTCATGTGGGGCATCGCCCTCCCACTAGCAAGTGAGTGGGTTGCTTCAGAACTGGCAACATTGTTAAGTAGCTGGCCACATCATTCAGTAGCCAACCTCATTCAGTGGCAAGTCTGCCATGCACCTGTCAATAAGCCTCTGGACTGATGGCGTCACACTTTGTTTACTTATGTGCTTTCTTAAGAGTCTAGCCGGAGTTTACTGTAGTTGATCATTGAAGATTTCCCATATAGGCCCTGCCATGTTGTACATAACAGTTGGGAGGGTTTTGAGGTTGAGGTTTTTATCCCGACAATTTTTTTTTTTTCATTCCAAGGCTTTCCTTTTCATCTTGATTTCAGTGATCTTCATCCACGCCTCGCTGAGGATGCGCAACCTCAAGAACAAGATGGGCAAGAAGCTGGAATCGCTGGGGCTGAAGCGGACGCCCATGGGTATCCTCCTCTTCCAACTAGGGTTAGAGGAGCAAGCACGCTCCTGACTAGGCAAACTAAAGAAAGCACACCAAAGAAAGGAAAGCCCTATCTGCAAATTGCGGCAAAATTTCCAAAAGGGTCTTGGCCGATTAGTTTCTGGCTGTTTGAAAGTACTTTAAAGCAATCCCGGTGCCAACCCGGAACTTCTTGTAGACTGTACACGTAGTTACCACTACTGTCTTACTGTTTGCCTACGTAGGGCCAATGATTTTTATGCTTCAGCGGGAAATAGACTAATTGTGTTCCTTCCAATTTAACAAATATTCAGTACAAACATTCTGTAATATTTTTAGCTTAATTGAACACATTTCATTTTCAAATAAATGTTTTGTAGCAAAATTGCTGAAGTGATTGTTCATCAGTCATTTAACCCTACCACCCCCCTCCCCCCAAACAGGATTTCTCTAGGCACCCTGCCAAATGCAACAAAATGCAACTTGGCTGAAATAAAAACCCAACTAAATGCAACAAATTGCAACAGTGGATTCTGTTGCATTGTGCAGTGAACCCAGTGCATACCAGCCTTGGCACCAAGCAATTGCCCTGCTAAATGCAACCAAATGCAACTTCTGCTGCATTGTGCAATCGATTTTCCTACACTTCTAACAATTCTACCGATTGTCGTACACTTCGACAATAAATCATGTACAAAGAACTTCAAGTACATGTACATGTAGATTATTGCGCCTGTCTTTGTACATGTAAACGTATTTTTGTTTCCCAAGTCCAGATTTTATATTGATTTTCTTTCATTACTCTTTTTTTTGTGTATAATTTGTGTACAGCATGGTTATTTTCAGATTTGGTTTTTCTTTTTTCAAGTTTTCACTAATTTGGGGTCATCTCTGGTTTGTCGGTGGCTTTAACGTTTAAGTGAATATGAATGTTACTGAATACTAACTGGATGTTAATGAATATCAAAAAGAAGTGTGAATTGCCTTTAGGACAGTAGTGAGTTTAATAAATGTAGGTTTCCATTATTCATAACTTGCCTTTTCGCAAGTGTCTTGCCCAACCTGTGTCATCGGTTAACTCATTGTGTTGTCTGAAATAATTTGGTATTATTTTGTCTTTGCATAATATCCACATTAAGTTTCAAACTTTCATTTACAGTATAAGTGGGTCTTTTGGTTACTTGTTTATTTTTCTTGTTTATGTATTTACTTTTTTAGTATTTACTTGTTTATGTATTTACTTGGAAAGAATGTTGCAACCTGACGCTACTTCAGCAGTTGTGTACAAAGTCTATGGAGAGTCAAGAACATTTTCTAAGTATTTCCTAACAAAATTGGAAATGTTTCTCAGTCCCAGATTCATGTCTAATCATCATTTTTGCAACGACTGACCTTCATTGAGATGATATATGAAGAAAATAGCAGCGTCAGGTTGCAACATTCTTTCCATTTCTTTTTATAATTGAGAGGGAAATTTCGCAAATGAAACTTTTGGTTCTTTCAATCAAATTAGAAGAAACGTAACAGTACTGCGATGTATTAAAAGTCATCATTGCCATGGTTGTACATGTATTTATGCCAAGTATTTAACCCATTGGTCCTCTGTACTATATTGTATTACATTGTGTTTATTTACTGAAGAGTCAGTAAAATCATAGAGTACTGTACGGTGTTTTAGTCACTACAAGTATTAGTTAGGCAAGGCAGGGCAGTTTTGGGGCGCTACAGTGACTAAAGGGTTAAACACTTGTGGCAAAAGTGTAGTGATATCCTGTGATCATAACTTCATTAACCCTCCTGCTGTTTGACCAGCCACAGACAGTAAAAAAAAAAAAATCCTCTTCCACATGCCATGCCGTTTACTCAGGCTAAGGGCTAAGGTCTCTGGTCAGCGTGCGCGTCGATTTTAATCATGCACGTCAATCTTTTTTTTTTCCAAAATGTTCCGCGGTAGCTCCAACAGCGCCCTCTATTGCCGCACCTCCTCAATTTTTTTTTTACCAAAGAGCACCAAGGAATGGGAAATTTTACCAAGGCAAATGATCGAGAGCACCAAGGCAAATTATGGAGGACACCACTGTACATGAGGACACCAAAAAAGCAAAAAAATACCCCACCATGTCTGTACAATCCAAGCTTGAAGAAAAAAAAAAAAGCCGCGTCCCCGTGTCAATTCCGGAACTTTGGTCTGACCAGAGATCGAATATTTTTTTTTTTTGGCCTAATCACCAACAGTCGGATCATATTTCAAGCAAGCACTTTGACTAGTCAAATTAAGTCAACAGGCAAAAGCAGGCAAGTGGTAGGTACAGCTGGCTCGTCAATCACTGTCAACACATAGTTGTATCAAGTTACATAAACAGTCACAGTAAGTCAATCCAGCTTGATTGATTTTGACTGACAACTTTGCACAATGTATGTTTGTATACGAGGGAAATGCACCATATGAAACTGCCTGAAAATGTACAAAACAAAGCTTATTTCTAAATAAAAGGCAACTTTAATTATAAAATTCATAGAAAGTTCAGTACAAATCAGCTGTACATTTAAATGTATTTTCTGGCATATTTCAGTAGTAAAATAGTTGTTTAGTATTCCCACTTGCTATGTGCATCTAAATATCAGTTTTTACACCAACAGTAACATGTATAAGATACAATGTTAACTGTCTTTATTTAAATGTAGAAAAAAAAAAAACATTACAAAAACCTGCAATAAACTGTTTCTCAATCCTAAATAAAGACAACATTGTTGTTAATGTAAACATTGTTTTGATTTATTGCCCATTTGTAATTGCCTGCTGTAATGATTCTACTACAAATTTTGTACATGATATGATTTACATTACCCCGACGCAAAATTCCACCTGATGAATACATAATGCAGTACCCGCTGCTATTTACATGTACATCAGATTCGAACCAGCCAGCGGATCCCGTTAGCTCGGTGGTCAAATGGTAAGACATCTGCACTAGAAAGCAGGAGGTCGTGGGTTCGAGTCCCACCTGAGTGATTTTTTCCAATGTTCATTCGGGAGGTAACACACTGAGTATACAGTGTTTATACGTCGGTGAAGGGCAAAGCCTAATTTGATTTACATTACCCCAACGCAAAATTCCACCTTATGAATCCATACATGATAGCTGATGAAAAAATATACAAAAAAAAAAAAAATTCCAAAATTAATGCCGAAGGAATTTAAGTTTAATAATATATATAAATCTTGCAAAAATATCATGCAAATATTGGTGGTTTTTTTTGGTAAACATGAGGTATCAAAACTTTCATACAAATTGTTCAATCAGAACTTTCAATGGTTTTACGTGAAGACATGATAGGGTTATTTGTTGTCAAAAATGGTAATACACTGGGAAAGATTTCCATATACGAAGTTCACTAATTTTCCTCTGTATTGACTAACAAGCCCCCAGATAGCAATTTCATGTCATCAAAGTCAATTTGAGCAGTGAGAAAATACAAGCATTTTCTTAGAAAACACTTAAAATGTTTCCATTCCAGTCTCATAGGGTTTGTACACAGGGTGTTGAGTGAACTTCGTATATGGAAATCTTTTCCATAAACCGTCGTATTTACAGCGTCACAACACTAATTGCAAGTTGACAGTGAAAAATGTGCCTTTAATCAGGCGCGGTTCTAGAACCAATATTTGGGGGGGGGGGGGGGCTAGCACGGTGGATCCAGAATTTTTTTCAGGGAGGCGTGCTGAAATGTAGACCGGTAATTTTTTCCCGACACTTAGGCCTCCGAAAATCAATTGGGGGGGGGGGCTCATGCTATATTTTCAATGGGGAGCGCCAATAAAATCCTAAAATCATTCACACCATATTAACTAATGCACCCTTGTCACGGCTATTTCTTCTTTAGGGGGAGACCGTTTGCATGTACATCACAATCCTTCTTTTTGCTAATGCAATTTTTTTTTACGGAATTTTTTTTTGGGGGGGGCTAGACAAAATTTTGGGGGGGCTACAGCCCCCCCCCCCCCTAGAACCGCACATGCCTTTAATACAATACAGACTACGGCCTAAAATCCGTGTGTCTGTTTGCGCAGTGAGTTGTACGTTTACCAGTTGCCTAACCGTGATGTGCACTCTTAAAATCCATGTGTACATGTACGTAAGCGTGATGTTAAAGCACACACAATGCGCATATGTTTCACGCATGATGGACACATGGATGTTGAATTGGACGTGCTGTTTTTAATTTCAGGCATGTGTGTAATTTGAAAACACTATTGGTTGTAGGATCAACGAGTGTGTGCATATACCACCTGTGTGCAAATGTGGTACGTAACACCATCAGTAATAGGGAGGTTTCACAAGCGAACGGATACGCTTAACACTTACGTTTAGCTATCCGTATCTGTTTTTTACTTAAGTGTAGCGAGCGGGATATGCGTGTCGTCTGCACGTTTAGCGGAAAGTGAGCGGCGTATGACATCATAACTGATGAAGTATCCGTCGCACTAAACGTATCCGTTTGCATGTGAATCCTCTCTAATGACTTATACATGTGGTCCTCTAGTTAGTCATAATGTACAAATGTACCCAGACTGAAACAATTACGTTTAGTAACTCATAACCTCGTACAGGTCATCGTATGCTTCATGGACGCTCCTGGCAAAGTCTGACAGACTCGGCGAGGCAGAGTAGCTGGTCCCCATCCAACTCACACCATCTCCCGTCACAGTGTAAGCCACACCGAGCCCGCCAGGGGATACCGGTGCGAAAGCCGCCCCGGCTGAACTCTTGGAGATGCCCGTGGTACTTGTTGACAGCGTGATGGTGTTGATGTTGGCGTAGGCCGGGTCCTGGAATACTGCCGGCATGGGTCTGCCTGTGACCGTAGCCAGGCAGCGCAGGGCAAAGAGATGACGGTCCCAGCCTTGGCCTGTACAAAAAAGAATATCGTTTGTTGTGATACAGTCAATGTCTTTTGTTCAACCACGGGGTAGCACATGAGGTAATGTTGCCTTTTAAGAACCAGTGTCTTTTCCATACCAGGATGTCATTGTTCTTATCTTTTACCCAGCCCACTATTATCTGGTTAATTTCTTCAGGCAAATGTGGAGTACTGTGGCCTCGTGGTTAAGGGCACTGATTCGTGGTCTGCGGGTAAAGCTGCAGGTTGTGGGTTCGAGTCCTGGCGGGGTCATGGTGCGTGTGCCCTTGGGCAAGGCACTTTGTCACTCATTGCTTCTCTCCACCCAGGAGTAGATGGGTACCTGTGAGGGCAGAGATGGTTATTGTGATTGAATTAGCTTCCTTGCTCCTAACAGGCTGCATCGAGCTGTATACTCCCCAGGGAGCTGAGATGGTATTTGGAATGTTTCATGTGCCCAATGAGCAGGGGTAATAATGATGTAGCGCCTTTAGCACCAGTCCTGGTGGATACGTGCGCTTTATAAATATCCACAATTATTATTAATTAATGGCCAAAACCACAGGTGGCCAGCTTCACAATCTGGACACACATCACACATACACCATGTATGCACACTGCACGTATGGACATAGATTCCCACAATTCAGGATTTCTGTTTTTCATGCACCATTTTCAACCATTCAAAAAATAATAGATGGTTTCAATCGGCCAAATTTTTTTCAATGGAGGGTGAAGTCTCAAAACCGACAAACTCACTTGTTTGACTGGAATCCTGCTGCTGCACAATTTTAACTTATTTTTAGATGGGGTTGCGATCGAGTATAAGCTTTACGTGACCTCTCTGGGATCCCATATATTCTGCGCTAAAGTTAGCCGTGCACCATTTGCAGACGGTGATTGTAATTTTGTAATTGTGCGTCTGGAAGCCAGACTGAGGGAGCGATGGTCGTGTATCTGGAAGCTGTAAACACTTTTAAATTAGCGCAATATGTAGCAGACTAATGAACAGCCCGGCAACACATGCACGATGTCGATGGCGCTGTACATTTCTTTTGACTATCCAAATTTTCAGAAGAATGTTTGTGTCGGTGAGATCGTAAGTGGGTGCAGAGTTCTCAAGCCTTATGGCCTTACTGAGGTCACCTCAAGCTCCACCCTTGAAGGATGATATTTTGAGAGTTTTAAGGGGATTGAAGCGCCATCTGCAACATCAGCCGACATTTGAAGAAAAAAAAAAGTAGGGGAAAAAATAAAACCCGCGTTGTCGCACCACTTTTGGGGCAAGCTCCATACCAGAAACCGGAGACTTTTTTGGGGGCCTAAGATGGTTTCATCAAGGGAATAAATGTGTATTCGAGAGGTATTATAACACTCTGTTTTAAGACCGGTGGGAGTCTGGATGGGTGATAATGACTGACCTTCATTGAGATAATATATGATGAAAACAGTGGCGTCAGGATGCAACATTCTTTACGTTTATTTTATTTCATGACTTTTTTAACAAACCATCGGAGGGTGACATACGTGTCTGGGGCCAAGTTTGGACAGAACCCAATGACCTGATTGATATAGTGATCGAATTGCGTTGACTTGTGAGTGCAAAAAGTGCTATTTGATCAATTGAAGGAAACTTAAATTGTTGTCGCATTAATATTTTAAGCAAATTCTACCCATGAAGCTAGGATACACTCTGCTGTGCGTACATAGTGCTTAAATTAGTCTTGGCGAAATGGACAACAGTTCCATCAGCAGAAAATGGAATGTTTTAGCAAAGCTACAAATTTTGACCCAAAGCATGCAACTGGTCTTTAGGCTATGTTAAGCTTACAGGCCCTTCATGTCAAACTCCTGGAAATCCTATGACGTGGCAAGAATTTTCCTCAATTTAAAATACTACACAAGAAAAACACTGTGCATGCATGAATACCTTCCCTAAATTTAATTACTTCGAATGCAAAATTAAAACAGGCAGCAAATCTAGGTTACATTTACCTCAAGGTTCTACAAGGTTAATGAGCTTTTTATAGGGTAACTCGGGGTTTCACACCAAGTTACCGCTTGTTTAATTTTGCATTCTTCTCTTACCTTGGATAGCTTCCTTGGACAGAAGTCGGTGTTTATCAGAGCAGGCCTTTACCAGACTTCTCTTCTCGTCCATGTTGACACCGGAGTTTTTGTAGAAAGCCTCTGTGCAACTCTTGGTTTCTGCTGTTGCTGAGCGGATGGTCTCTGTGCGGCCGTGCTTGAACATGGAAGTGCTGCAGGACTCGTATGTTGCTGCGACGCCACCAGTGACTCGATGGTATGCCATCTGTTTTAAGAAAAACGCTCACCATTCTCAATACATGTTTAAACAATGTGACTGTTACGTGAATCCACGCCGGAATCGAATAGAATTGACTCCAAATTCGGAATTGGAATCGCGATTCCACTTTTTTGAGGAATCGATTCTCTTGTGACTCACATGTGATTCACTTGTGACTCACATGTGATTCACTTGTGACTCACATGTGATTCACATGTGATACACTTGTGATTCACTTCTACTTCGCTTGTGATTCATTGTTGATCCATCACATGTACCGCAACTACAACACTGCCGCTGGACACAAGCCCAGCTTACCTGTAAAGCCAGCTGTGCCACGGCATCTGGGCTCACTCCGCACTTCTTCATGAAGGAACTGCCATATCTCGGATACTGCACCCACTGTACGTTCAGCTGGCTGGTAGCCAATGCGTGGTTAGCCTTGGCCTCTTCAATTCCTTGGCAGAGCGCTGAGTCCAGCTTGAACTCTAGCTAGATGTGGATTTCAAAAAAAAGAAAGGAAAAAGACCTATTGATATAATGTTGGCTAAAAATACTTGTAAAGAACCCCGTGTTTTCCCTGCCCATTCAAACGTGAGGTGGCCCACCTCGCTACTTTCAGTGACCACCTCGCTCAATTTTTGCAAATATCACCACCTCACTGCGAAACTTTGCACCAATAGAAATACAAATTATCGAAAAATTTTGTTTTGTGTAATGTATTAGCGTTTTCCTTGACCTCTATGTATCAAGAACTGGATATGTAGATGGAATCATCGCGCACTTTTCTGGGTGCTGCGTTCTTTTCACTTTGCAGACTGCGTCAATTTTGTTTCAATCATCAATTTGAATGTTTACACCACCTCGCTCAGTTCATTTGCCAGGGGAAACACTGAAAGAACCATTTAGTTACACAGCACAAATGTAAAGGTCAATCTCGCAGGAATTCGGAGTTATGGTAATATGCTGCCAACAATGAAAATATACAGCTTTTGAGATGTATGCGCTGGTTTTCATCATGACATGAAACTGTATTTCTGCTGTAACTCCATTGGGCATTTTCACCTATTCTTATTTGGTTAACCCTTTCCTTACCATGGGCGACTTTTGTCGACAAGAAGTTGCCCCCTGCTGGTTCCCATGGGCAACTTTAGTCGACCAGGAAACCACACACAAAACACCCTCAACACAGATATATTCACTACTATTCAGAAAGGCGGCATGTTGATGTTTGGCCGCCCATACATCAACTATATACCAGCTGAAAGAGTGTTTTCAGATCTTTCTATTGAAGTGGTTTATTCATAGTGTTACCATACAAAAAAAATGAGAAAAGTGCTTCAGAAGTATCCACGCACGATTTGGGGTATGGAGTGCCATTTGGTCATGTGGTGAAATGGCTTGCAGTTTGATAATTGGGACCAGATGAACAAACAGGCATAACTTTCTTATATTTACACGTATGGACTTCATTTTTACATCACATAAAAGAGTAAGGTTCAAGGAACAAACTTTACACACCTATGATTTAAATCACTCCTTGGCAATGAAAATCTGGGTTGAAAAAAGTTAGGTTTTGACTCGTGCTCATTTTGTTCACGTTCTAGTGATTTCCGCATGACTGAGCAAACAATTTGGTCCTGGGGAGAGCCTAGTCAATAAACAATGTGGGCATGAAAGGGTTAAAAAAAAAAATATGAAGTGCATGGGTGGCGTTGTGTGTACAGCACTCGCCTCTCACCACTGTGGCCCAGGTTCGATTCCCATCTTGGGTCACATGTAAATGGAGTTGTTCATTGATTCTCTCCTGTGCAACAAGACTTTTTCTCCGGGTTCTCCGGTTTTCCTCCCTCTGCAAAAATCCACACTGTCAATCTGGCTGTGCTCCGTGGTCATACATGCATGGGTCATATGGCGGCAGCCTGAGACACCTTTACATGCCTTCGGCTCGACCATGTCGTAGCTGCGTCCTCGCATTGAGTTGCTGCTGCGAGTATGGATTATTAGCCCCCCTCATCCCCCCCCTTCATTATTATAAATGGTCAAATGGATGTACGTATATATACTTCCTCAATTGATGAGCAATGTAGACAATAAGACAATATGGACTCTGTGGTGCATGTATTTTATGCCATTCTTATAATCAATGTGGCTTATCCACCCTTTTTTCTTGGACAGTCATATTTTCAATTGAAACAACAGAAAAAGGTTTTTTTTTCCCTCAACAAACACATGTACATGTATAACTAAAACTTGAGACTTGCACCGTAGTACATGTACATGTAATATGCAGCTCTGTAGGTTGTTCTTAGGATTTTGAGTCACTTTCGGACCCCATAGGCCAACTGTTCTCATTATTAAAAAAAACAGAAATGATGTCATGATGATAACTCAAGCTTATGCAAATAACCATATTTTCTTTTATTTTAAAAACTCTTATCGCGATGTACCGGTAGGCCTTATGCTCAAAGCATTATGCTCAAAGGATTTGCCTTTGAGAAATGTCTTGCTTAAGACTGAAAATATCCAGTCAGTTTGCTTAAATCACATACGTGTACAATGACTTCCCAACAGAAAAGCAAAGACCAAAAATTCATTATGGGATCATACATTGTAGGCATCAATACATGTATAACCTAAAGAAAACAGTAACGATGTCAATGAACGTTCCATGTGACCCAGGTAAGTTGATGATATAGAAAGGTGTTATGTCATATATGCATGGTTGCGGGGCATTTGTGTTTTTTAGCACTACTTTTCTTGTTTTTGGTCTAAAAATGAGCCGCGTTTTGTTAATAACAACACTGATTCTCCAATGTAAGAAGTACAAAGGTATACGTACCTTGCTCACACTTTTTGAGCTGTCTACGCTACTGGTATGTGTAGTTCCCCCCGGTGTGATGGCAGGTCTGCTAACAGCGTCCTCATACGCATCCGTGAATAACCTCTTCAGGGTGACACCGTTCCCCCATGAATGCTCGATGTTTGTCATCAATTGGCCATCTGATGTTACAATCAGCTGGAACGGTTTGTCAAACCACCTCGAAGAGAGAAAACAAAGAAGCTTTTAGCATCCGTAGTATCGTTCAAGCAGCAGCAGCAGCTGCGTTGCAACTGACAACGATCCAAGCCAACCATGACCAATCACACAGGAAAGTCTAAGATGCAAAGCAGCCGCAATGGTGGCTGCAAGAAGCACGCCCATGAATGCCCTCCCAGTACAGCATAAAAAGATCGCAACACTTTGTTCATGAGTCATTATTGCCGAACGCACTTCGTTTTTTTATTTTGGGTTGCAGCCTACACGATGACTCCAGCCAGTAACAGCAACAAATCCTTCTACATGTATCAATGAAATAGGACCGGTTACTTGACCACACATTTGGAAAACCCTGAGTGTAGTGCTCACGAATTGCACGATCGCTAGAGACTAGACATCGGCAAACAACATGAAACAAAGATTTGCTACACCAAGTTACACAATGTGAGTGGTTTATTATTATACATGTATTTATCCATAGAGCAGACACTTTTAGGTAAGAAAAATATAAAATCTGAGCAAAGTGATAATTTGTAATTGAAAAATAAGCCCATTAACATCAATAATGTTAATAATATAAATAAGGCATAGTGAGTTATGGTAATAGCCATTCATGTGCATAAGATGTACGTATGTGATCATAGAAAAATTGGGAAATTTGTGTAACTCAAACTTCCAATTTCTCGAAATTTGTATCTACATGTATTCCCTTGAGATTTGACTAATCGAGATTTCACTGTATCGCATTCCCTGTGTGGACTGCTGCGCGTACATATCACGTGCAAGCGGTAATTAACAATGCTATGTGTACATGGATGGTACACATATGTACACAAAACACAACCCGCAATGCTACATGTACTTATTCAGATCATACTTAAATCAATGGTTGACTGTGCCATGTGCCACGCCGAGCTAGCCTGTCAAGTTCCTCATTAAGAACGACGTTGCAGCCCACTCTCTGCGCATGGCACCTTCCTATGATACTACCAAAAATTCCTTTGGGATAAAGCAATTGCTTTCACGAATTTGTCAAAAAATTGAAACAATTGTGTTTAACTGACAAATTTCCTTTAAATGACTTTGGAGTAATGGTGAGACCTTTGACTTTGAATTCAATTAATAAAAATTAAATGTTTTGAAATAGGGTTTTTCTCAAAACAAATCATTTTTTTTTACAGGGGCGTCATTAAAGCTATAGTCCATCATTTGTAATTAGTGCATTTTGTTCGTTTGAAGCAACAAAAGTGTTCAAAATCTAATGAAGGATACTGAACAACTTACTTGATGAAGTTTTAGCTCAGCTTCAGCTTCATATTCCGAGAAAAACAGCATTCTAGGATCTCAATTTAAAATCAAAGGTTGCTAAATCATGTTTCGAATTGTTTTGAATTCAGCTTTACGCGATGTCGCGCACTGATCCGACGAATTATAGCAACCGCGCCCTCCTGTGCGTCGTTCCAATGCTTGTGCGCGCTGCGCCAAATAACAAAATGAACAACTAATTTAAATTTTCCTACGGTGCTTCTTAAGAAGCACCGTTGGAAATGCCTTCTTTCGTTGATTTCTTCAAAATGAGAGCTTGCCAGAAAGGATAATTTCACAGGGAGTTTAGTCCCCTTACTATCTTTCAACCAGTATGTTTTTCAACAATAATTACGCCAGTTACTTTTTTGGATAGCTGCAAATGATGGACTCTAGCTTTAAGGGAGCACGTGGTTGCATGCTGGATTCACTGCACGAAAAACCAAGCAAATACACATTTTTACTGGAACTGTCTTTCGATACTGGACTAAAATGTACGCATTTGGAGAAAAAAAAGAATTTTAATGACGTTTGTGTTTCTTATGTCACAATTTTGCACATTCCTTTTTCAAGAGTAAAAGGCGCTCAGGCCATCGTACACACTTGGCCTTAACCCGTACCACCCCCCACTCCTTCTGCATCCTACCTGTTGCCTGCATTTCCATACAATCCTTTCCTGGCCAGCTGCTCCTTACTATCATCTGTGTCATCCTCCAGACACACGCAGAATAATGCAGAGTCAATCAGCCTCACAGTTTCCTCATTATCTGCAACAAATAAATTATTACGGTCATTTTCAAGTATTCCATACATGTTGTGATGTTAACCAAACTGTATTGACTCTGTGTAGGAACAACAGACTTAAATACAATGTACCTACTCACGCGAGCCGGTGTATACATGTAACTGACAAATTGTGTGCGCTCAGTGGCCTGCATGTAATTTTTATCTAAACGTGCACAAACCTATGACGTGCTCCAGTCACCAAAAAATTATTGCTATCGTTAGCAAGGCCCATGTGAACGTGCCACCCCAAGTGGAATTAAAATGTCATCAAAAAACAGTTTTCAAAAAGCGGCTCTTTTAAAATCTTCCCAAAAATTGTGACTAGCTGTGGATATTTTGGCAGTTGTATACAAAATCACTCTTGATCTTGATGTACAATTGGTCAATTTTCAGCCCAAAGGAAGCATGGCGTTTTGTGTGTGAATCAACCATAACAGGCCAACAGCGAATTAATTCAACATTGGGTTTGGCCATTCATAGACGTATTTTACAAACACTATACTCAGTGTTGTCCCGAGCGACTGTGCAAAAAAAATCACTCGGGTAGGACTTTAACCCACGACCTCCTGCTTACTAGCGCAGACGTCTCAGTTCTTTGTTATGGTAGTACCCGCTGCTATGATTTTTAACCAGCCAGCCGACCCAGGCAGCAAGCTCAGTGGTCGAGTTGTGAGACTTCTGCACTAGTAAGCAGGAGGTTGCGGATTCATGTAGCATTGTAGCATCCAAGTGTTTTTTTCTCACAATCACTCGGGGGGCAACACTGAGCATATACATGTAGTGTTAGTAAAATACATCGGTGAAGGGCAAAACCCTATTCACCCCGACGCAAATTTCATCTTATGAATAACAGCGAATATTTGTGATCGATTTCCTTTGTTGCTAACGTTTGCCGACTTTGGTGGCAAACTGTCGGTCCTGCTTGTGAAAACGTTGCAAATGTTTGCTGTGTTTACAGAGATAGGGGTTTACATGTATACCGAGGAACACACATCATGTCGATTGGAAGCCTACCAGTAGGCATCAACTTTGACATTCTAATTTGGTTTTAACATTCACATGTATTATGCGAGTGTTTTAAGTAAGAATTTATGAGAATTTTGCAAAATGACAAAATCTCTTCAAATGTCGTCGCAAAGCAGACCTGGGCACACTGCAAGTAGCTTTTCACGGAGTCGCGTCCACGTGTCACGGTGTTCTGTGGTCAGGTACCCGATGGGGTGTTCTGGTGGCGGTAAGGAGCTGGAATTGTTGAGAATGTACTGAAGATTAGCCCTGATGTCTTGTCCCGGAACCAGACTACCTGCAGAGGACGACAGCAAGCAGCAACAATTTGAATGGTGGAATATTTGGCTATGGACTGTGCCAGCAATTTAAAGCTACAGTCCATCATTTGCAGCCATCCGAAAAGTAACTGGCGTAATTATTGTTGAAAAACATACTTGGTTGGAAGATAGTAAGGGGACTAAACTCCCTGTGAAATTATTCTTTCTGGCAAGCTGTAATTTTGAAGTAATCAACAAAAGAAGGCCTTTCCAAAGGTTGTAGGAAAATTTAAATTAGTAGTTCGTTTTGTTAATCGGGGAAGCGCGCGCAAGCATTGGCACGACGCACACGCGATTGCTATAATTCGTCGGATCAGTGCGCGACATCGCGTATAGCTGCAATCGGCTCAGTGAGAACGCGTCTCGAACGCTGAATTCAGGCCCAATTCAAAACATGATTCAGCAACTTTTGATTTGAAATTGAGATCCCAGAATGCTGTTTTCCTCGGAATATACAGCTGAAGCTGAGCTGAAACTTCATCAGGTTAGTTGTTCAGTATCCTTCATTAGATTTTGAACACTTTTGTTGCTTCAAACGAACAAAATGCACAAATAACAAATGATGGACTATATCTTTAAAAGGCATGGTACATGTACGTGTGACCTACATGTACAGACTCTGTAAACAAGTTTCCCCTAATATCTGTACCACTGTTTCCCAGGTCTGTATCACAGTGAACACATTTTGTAGAATTGTAGAGAGTTCTTAAAAAGTCTGAGAGCATACTGTCTGAAATATTTAACTTCTCTTGAAAAGAAATTCCAGAGGAAATTTTATATTTATACCTTACTAGCCTGCCAGCTACAATGTAGGTGCAGTCATAAAGTTTGTATCGTTTGCAGGTTTTAACAAGTTGTCAGTGGGAAAAAGAAATGAAGAGGTAAAAAAATTAACAAAAATTGGATGTGTGACCACTACTTCCATGACACACAGACATCAGACAGACAGACACCGTAGGATCTTTTAACCCTAACCACTCCAACTCTATCAAAATCCAGAAGGTCCAGAAGGCCTGGCATGTATATATTGATGGAGTATGTTGGACTTGGGCCTTATGGCCTGAAGCAGTGCTAGGGGTATGCGATTGATTTTGCCTAGCTTCCTGTACTGCTATAGTGATAAAAGCCATGTGTAGCAAGTCCATGAATGTCAACCAGTGCGTCAGCGGTGGATTCCATTATTTCATGTACAGTTTTGTATTAGACGCACAGTGATTGATGAATTGTGATGGATTGGTCCAATTCCTGATAAAAGACGCAAGGGAGTTAGGGTTAATATAGGATATTTCTAAACGTGCAATACCAAGCGTGCAATACCATTCCTTGATCCATTTTATCATAGAGTGCCGGGATGGTTTGGGGCGATATACATGTAAGAAGTAATAGGTAGTGTGCTTTGGGGAGCGGTACCAGGAAAATTGGGTTAAACAATGTTTAACAAAATATCGGTCAGCAATCAATGACCTACATTGTAGTCAAACAATAGCCTTTTGATAATGGCCTGTACATAATACAGAAACGAATGAAAACAAAAATTGAGGCAAATGAACATGTACTAACCATCACTGTCCAAGACATCAAGGACATACATGTGGCTGTTGGCTATCACCAGCAAGTGGCGCTTGGTGTCATCTTTGTACAGCTCATCCCTGTTGTTCCTGGGTATCCGTGTAGCATTAAAGATCCTGGTAAACTGACTCATGTCCAAGGGCTGCACACTGCTGTCCACTGCATGCCGGTAAGCATCTTCTGCTGACAGTGACCTTTTGTGCAAATGATAATATTTACTATCCATTTTGAACAAAATTATATTCACTTTTGCATGGCATGTCAAAGGAAAAATCCAGCAACATTAAGCTACGGAATAATAGCCCATTATCATTTTGCGGTCATCTTAATTCACCCCCATTCAGTTTATTTTTGCATGTTTCTCCACTACTGCAGGTGCCCAGTTCCGTCTCATTTTGCCAGAATGCCTCACAATGAGTAGTCTATGTAATAGACCACGGCGAATGCCGTGGTCTATTATGCGCGAACTGATTTGCTGATTAATTAGGCAAGACCCCCTGCCACTTGACTTCCTAGATTTTCACAAATCAGCAGGCGCTTTCTATAGGTCTATCGGGTCTTCGGTCATTCACCCGTTGCACGTCATAGACATGGATTAAAAAAAAAAATGTCACGGCGCGCGGCGCTCGGTATCATGTTATGCAAATGTGCTCCCGGCTGTTGTCGTATTACAAAACACTGCATTCGAATTGACCAATCACGGCGCGCGGCGCTCGGTATCATGTTACGCGAATGCGCTCCCGGCTGTTGTTGTATTACAAAACGTTGCATACGAATTGGCCAATCACGGCGTTAGTCCTGATTTGGGGATGAAATGACGCCACGATTTAGTTAAGTCGACTCCGATTGGCTGGCGCGTGGCTTGAATAAATCTGCATGCTTTGACATATCAGACGTTAGACAGGAGATGGCTCCGTGGATAACGAGTGATACTCAGACTACACAATGAGTTCCACTAAGATTATTAGACTCTGGGCACCATAAACATGATAAATGGTGACAAACTCACTTGCCCAGGAAGCACATCTACATGTACCGGTATGGCAACTGATTGTGCAACATGCAGGTAAGGTTTAAGTTGTGTGATCGTCAACAAACCAGGATGCACTTGTCCCACAGTAGTTCCTCTCATAAATGGTCACAAAGACACCTACATGGTACTGAACCCCAATATAATGATCATGACTCACCTGAACGACCTCCAGAAACCCTCGGTATCAGTGACGGCGGGGTTCTTGTGAACGACGTCCGGGAAGAGTTTGTCTTCTCTCAAGGTCTTCAAGAATCTCAGCAAGGAAACAATGACATTGGTTGCTCTTATCGTCTAGACAGGACAAGGAGGAACAATTACAATTCATCAGATTTGAACCATCCAGCCAATCAAAGCAGGATTTGTTGTCGAGTAGTATACACATATAGACTGCTGCGGGTGGTGTAGTAAAACTAGCATCCCGAGGTGATCCTTGGATCAGCATTTTATTTTCCCCAGGCGAAGCTGAGGATATATATAATGCTCCATGTATCACCAAGGGAGGCTATTTTTACTACATAACGAGTTAATGCAGTCAATATTTGTTTTATAACACTTCTCCCATGGGCACCGCTAGGATGGGGTAAGGGGGAGTGGCAATTGCTCCCCCCCCCTCCCCTGCTTAGAAAAAATTCTGGCGATGCCTATGACTTCTCTGCCCATGACAGATTCTGCTTCTCTTTAAAGAGACATCTGACTAATATACAATTAAACTGCACTTCTATTTCAATACGAAATTAGTTTAAAATTTACAGGAACTTATCAAAACCACTCCTTTACAAAGTGTTTGAACCAAGCACTATAGCGCTAGAGCTTGGGAACAATATGTGCAATGCGCACACCCGTATGCATATGCACACAATGCGATGAGTACATGTACTTTAGTTGCCATGCATATAGTACTGTACTTTGTCTGCTATGCATATCCATGTAGTACTTTGGTTGCTAGGCATGTAGTCTTTTTGCCCGTGCGCAGCAAGATAGCAAAAATAGCGAATACCATGTGACTCGCTCTCAGCCAATCAAGATGCAGAATCTGAGGGGCACAAATTGGCGGGGTGTTCCCTAACGTGGCGCACTTAAATAAATCTCGCAAAATTCCAAATTAACATTTAAGAATTACTGTAAACTTGATAAATTCTGATAAACAATTATTATCTCTAGCCCAGCCAGATGTTTGTCAGAATTTTTTTTCCTTATTTTTCGGAGCATTTTCAAAGGGTTCACTTTGCACTTGAAAATAAAATCGGAAAATCAAGCCAAAATAACTTTTTCTTTTAACTTTGTAACGGGTAAATAAACTCGCGATTTATGTATGGGAGTGTTTAGAACTTGATGAAATTTCACTTTCTGTGAAATTTCAGTTCAAACTTTTGCTCTAGCTAGGCGCTACAGGTGAAAAATCGAAGTGCGCCACGTTGGGGGCCGCGCCACGTTAGGGTACATCAACAATATAGAGCATTAGCTCTAATGTAAGTTACTGTTCTACTGCCAAATTCAAGCGGCCTTTACCTGATCCATATACTCTGGTCTGTGATCGTTGGTGATAAATGTCATAGGGCTGGTTTTCAGAATCACCGAGTCCCTATACCTGAGGTAGACATCCATCCAGAAATCTGTATCCAAAACAAAAGCATTCACAGTTAGAAGGGAATCCACGCATAATTTGGCAAACCTTTGGTGAACATTTTAAACACTTTTTACTTTTTAAAAGTTTTCAACTTTCCGAAACCTTTTCCAAGTTCACTGCACAGCTGGGGAACATCTTTGTGTTAACTGTACGTACAGTACGCCAGATTAAAAAATACCTGGTACATGCAGATATGTTTAAAGGTTGAAGGCCTATGGTACATCCTGTGAGGCGTTCTGGCAAAATGAGACAGAAATGGGCTGAGATCGCCAAAATGAGGGTATGTGGGTATTAGAGAAGACAATAAAATTCGCCTTCCAATACTGTTTGTTGCACTTGCATCGGACATTCCACTGATGAGTTATGGCTGTTTAAAGTTCACATTTACCAACATGTCAAAAAGTGAAATACTGAATACATTGCCTTTCAAGTTTTTAGTTTTGTAGTCGTAAAAATGAAGAATGCCAACTACTTTTCCTTAAACACACTTTTTTTCCACAATTTTATGCTATTTCTTTAGTAGAAGTATCAACAAGTGGTCCACGACCGCATGTGACGCCTTTTTCCGCGGTCGACCCCTATATTGTCGACCCCTATAATTTTGTTCCTTTTTAAGCAGCGACCTGAACTGACCCCTACATGACCTTTGACCTCCAATATTAGAAGAGTTGCGATGAACCCCCACCCAAGAGTAACTGCATCCAAATTTCATCAAAATCCATGAAAGCATATGCGATGCGATCAAGTTAAATGAGTTTTTGTCAGGAATTTTTATTTGAAGACTCTTCAGACCAAAATAGGGCCACTTCATCACATCACTTCCTGCATCTCTTGGTGTTCCAACTTCCATAATTTTTGAAATAAAGATGGTATCAGCATGCCAATTGTGTCTTCCCACCCAAGGGTCACTACATCCAACATCCATGAAAGAATGAAGCAGATATATATTTCTTTCAAAACTTTACATGCATGTACAGACATAAGGTCAGAATTTAGGACTGGTAAGCCTAAGTGTCTCCCAAAACTTAAGGGAACACAAAAATTATAGATATCAATAAATCTGAAAATCAAAAATAAAACCCCATTTGGTTTTTTGCCAGAGTGCCTCACATATCTATGGCACAAAACATAAATATGAAAAAAATTGAAAGAATTAAACCTCAGGAGCATCAAGGATGAACAATGATCGACTGGACTGAGAAACGGAACATAAACTTACCTGTAATGTAGCTCGTGTGGCTGTTTTTCTTGTTCAGTTCTAGCAATTCATTGTTGAGATCTAGAAAAGATTGTATAAATGTGGATTGCATCGGTAAATATGAAAAATGTGTCATGATAGATTTTTGAATACTGCAGAGTTGTAATGACTCGAGTCAATGACTCAACTCAAGTCCAACTACATGTACATGTATATGTAGAGTCACAATTTTTGGTGGCTCGACTTGAGTCCCTAAGGGTAAATTACTTAACCTGATTTGAGTCACTGCGAGCAAATAACTTGACTTTGCTCGAGTTCCTCATCATAAGTCTCGACTCGACTGGAACAAAAGCTAATAAGACTCGATCCCCCCCCTCCCCCGAGCCCTCCCAAGCAAAACTCACGGTGCGTCACTTTGCGAATACAGTACACAGCGGCTGCTTGCCATGTACAAACATACAATGTGTCACAGACTCCCATCTCATGGTTCTGGAACGCACAAAATACTATCCAGGAACTGGATTTTAAACACATTTCCAATTCGTTGTTTCATGAGTGGCTTTGGGCTATTTCTTATAAAGCTCTCAGATTCAAACGCCAGCTAAATTTATGTCCTTCTTTTAGAAATTAAATAGATATACATGTACATGTATGCCCACTTTTAAATAAACAGAAACAGTTTTTATAATACAAATTGGTTTTGATGTTGTCAGCACTCAACGAAAAAAATTCTAGACCCAAAGCCAAACCAGGTAAACTATATAAGATCGAAGTTTCACTTCTTGTAAACTGTTGGTGATACAATTTGTTATTGTTATATAGTGTTCAAATATTCGTGACTTGAATTTACTCGAGCGAGCTAAATATTTGACTCGACTGGAGCTAAATATTTGACTTTGACTCCAGCTAAAAATTTGACTCGAATTGACTTTCTTAACTGATCTAATGACGCGGCTCGACTCGAGTCTCTTCTTTAAAATGACTTGACTCGACTTGAGTCACAAAAATCAGTGACTCGTTACAACTCTGGAATACTGTAGCACCTTGAACACCAATACGGTACCTGTGGATTTGTCACCTATGTAAAAATGTAACTTTGCTATGATTTATTGTTATCTAATTAAGAAAACAAGTTTAAAAATAATTTTCAAATCAACCACAAAGGGAAACTGACTAGGTCCATTATTATAATTGAACAAAGAAATTGATTGAAGTAGGGTATAGCGATATGTTCACACCCAATACCAGTCAATTTGTTTTGTTCAACTTTAAAATATAAAAATGTTACTTCATTTGTACACACATTCACAAACTGAATTAAAGTCAACGCTGGGTAGAGAGAGAAAAGGCAAGTACATGAAATATCAGTCAAAAACGACCTTCATCCCCAATCATTGATGCAAATATAAACTATAGTTACCAACTCACCAACGCCTGCCCCCTTCTCGAATTCCCCGACGAGGGTTTTCGTCTCGGCAAATTCTCTGGGGTTGAGAAATGCCCACTGGCTAGCCAGGTAACGCTGGCAAGTGTCCTGCAGAGATGGAATGGGCACCTGGGGAATAGCTGGCTGAAAGATCATTGTAGGAACCGGGCTTAGAGCATGAAGGTAGTCCATCGTTGAGGCGGCAGATGAACTGTTGGAGAAATAAAGGCATAGATGTAGGGACCCTCTTTAGTTGTGATCAACTTAGAGTCAAGGTGTTTTTTTTTTATCAAAATGACTTTTGTCAAACTAAAACAGACCTCTCTTAATTCTAATTACATCATGTATGTAATTTTGAACAGTTTCTTGCAGTAGAAAATGCGATGTTTAACACTTACACAGTTGGTGCCATGCTAATCAATGCGGTTTTGTGTGTTAACTGTGCGTTGTGTTAATCGCCATCTTTTTTTTCGTGATGCATTTTGTCGTCTTCATTGTCGCAGTACCCCAAAATCTCCAATGAAATTTTTAAAACCTGCCCTGTATCTAAAGACATACATGTTGGTTTATAATGTCGCTAACTACCAGTAGTTTGGTAAGTCCAATAACCTAAAAGTGGATTTTTGGCCCTACACTACATGATCGCTGTTACATACCGTACGTGGAAGTGCACAGATATTTCCATTGATTCATTTATTGGTGTGAACCCTGACTACAGGTTTATGGCTTCTGACTAGCGCCCTTGAACAAAAAAATGTTTAATTGGGGATACGGGGCCTGATAATTGGCAGTTGGCAAAGCATAAGGCGGAGCATGGCAGAACAAGTACTGGTACATGTATGAATTTCGCGCTACACCACAGATTGTGCGGTTAGGGACACATGCAAAATAGACAAGATATGATATGACAGTATGAGATACAATGTACCCTCTTAAAACCTGGATGAAAACCTGAAGTTGCTGCCTGATTAATTTCGCATTCTCGCCTTAATATCCATTTATCCACCATCAAAACTCAAACTGAACATTTTCTGCAAGGTCTCCTCTCTGCCACAGTATGGGCTCCGTACACCAACAAAAGAGGGCTTGTTTTTACCTCGTTTGAGATCTCCGTGGATGGGTAACACAGCGTGCGCGTACTGTACTGTACTGGTTTGCGTGCGAGGTACGCACAACTTCCTGAATGTGCAAAAGCCATAGCCACCGCATCTTCGTGTGAGCGTCACGCGTAGGCGAGATGGTCTCCGAGACCAATCCCCGCCTCCAATAAATTAGGATACATTTGAAATACGCAGTATACAAATCAACTTTCACTTCTGTTTTCCTATGAGCCCAATCCATCTAACGGCTCCGTGCAAAAGTACCCCATCAACGGCCAGAAAAGGAGAGTTGGGGGTGACCAAGAATGGTTGCCGATCCATCCGCTGCGTACCGGTATTTCAAATGTATCACTCGTATGAAAAATATTCAATGGGATTTCATTTTTCGAGTAGTGTGACAAAACAGTAGGAAAAGTAGGTCAAGAAAAGAGTGTGAAAAGTAGGAGCAAGGAAAAAAGTTGGAACAAGTAGGAATACTTAAAAACCTGGGTACATGTACGTCATCCAAAACATCAGATTCCATACTGTAACTTTTCCTCTTGTCATTCCAATGTGACTAAGTACATGTACATTGCGGTATGCTCCCTGGACATGCTGGACTGCTTATGTCAAATTTTAAACACACTGCTTACAAAACAAATCCATTGACTAACCTTGAACACCATCTTGTCCTTAGTCTGTTCACAAGTCTCTAGGGATTAATCAGAGTACATGTACTTTAATCACTGAATTATCAGAGCAGTTAATTTTAATTGTTTTCAGTTTGATTTAATTCAGACTTTGTTTACATACGGTGCATACAATTTCTTGTGGAAGACAAGGGCCACCAAGCTCCATAGGAAAGCCCACGTGTAAACAAAAGCGTGGTATTGTTGGTACCGGTATGTTTCAAGTCTAGAATCATATCAATGTACATGTATGTAGCATGGTGCTGAATCGTGACCACTTTCGAAAGGTCAAGTTGTAGGGACACACTGGGTGCAAGCAGGACCAGATCAAGAGATCCATAGGCTTGTCAGAACATCTAAAATGTTCTGACAAGCCCATCTCTTAACCATTTTTGGAGGAAATATTCTTCAGGGAAGGTCACAATGTAAATGCTGTATTAGTACACTGTCCTCACTGAAACGCTAGTACGGAGCACACCGCAGCTCGTGCGCTCCATCCACTAGAGTTAGTCATTACTTACCGTGTTGCAAGGAGTTCGCATTGTATTGGTGACACCAGAGCAGCTGCCCAATCCCTCTGTCAATAAGTCCAATGCTTTTCTGCCTACGTCACGTACATGTACCTGATGGCAGTGGGTCAACCAACGAGCCATACAGTTTTTAGACTCTCTACAAAAAGGAAATAAACTTCATTTTATTCCCCAAACCTTGTTTCTATAATCAGAAGGATAGAACGTTTGTGCAAAGGCCATTATTTTAGGGTCAAAATCACTATAAAAGAGTTGCCATGCCGTGCGGGCGGCACTACCTGAAGATTCATGAGGGGTAAGGAACGTATCCATTGGAAGGAAATATCCGTCCCAGTACTGGTTGAATGTACACTCCAAATTAAGGGGAAGACATACATGTACGTGTACCAGTATGAATAAGGGGGCCAAGAACACCAAGTGTTCAGAACAAGAGAGAATAATAATTTATTAACACCTGAACTATTTGATGTCCTTCTTAACAAGTTCACTCAATAAGCTATGCACCAATAAAGACTACAGAATCAAATACAGGATACCTCCAGAAAAAAATATGTTAACGTTGCCCCTCCAATATGTAATGAAGTACAAAGAAGCTCCCTACCCTATTTTCCTTCAGCCAGCTTTGGCAATACGACACAATAATCCCTGCAAAGGGGCCAAGGAAGTTCAACAATAACAAACCACCTAATCAGATGTCGCACACCACCTCCAACAAAGGCAATTTGTGGGGTACACAAGCGACACCTAACTCAGGCTAGCTGGAATTACCTCAGCCTCATATTTTATCGTTGGGTTGTCGGAATCGCACTCGGGATACGGGGACCATCGAATGTACGCTGGGCATGAAGACTAAATCGTGTCGTTCAAACATTAACACGAGTCGGAAATTTAACGTGTTCACGATCACGAGGGGAGCTCTCGGAATTGAATGGGAAATTTCACTTTTCATCCGGATCGTAAGTAAACTTCAGTACAACCATCTTAATTATCGATGTCTCCTTGTACCTCAGGTGGCGTATTTAGTAATTTGGAGACCGTTGATGGTGAAATCTGATGTTTTTGTTGGGTTTTTGGGTCAATGACAGAATTGTGTTGCTCGGCATATAACTTTTAGCTTGGACCCCACTATCGCCAGACCATGTCCGAATGTTAAAAAGGCGATAAGTTGGGTCCAAGTTACTCGGACTACATTCAAGATAGCTTTACCGGCACGACAGCTCGGTGAGGCTTGGTTTCCGAATTGAAGGTGAAATTTCTTTTTTCTTCTCTAAGGTACATGTATGTGAACCTAACCACCTCCATTTGTATTTCCAATTCCCACTAGAGCCTACAGGGGCGCATAAGGCAGTTTCAAGACTAGCTTGAATTACTCCAGTTCTAATGCATATCGAATTAGAGCTGGAGTCACAACTACGTTACAATCACCGGGTCGTAAGAGTCCCAAAATTCCAGACTGTGTATCCCAAGTGCATTACAAAAATGGTCCATTTTCCCTATATTATCCCGACCCAGATTCCATAATTCATACCTCATACGATGCAGCAGACATTCATGAAGCTAATAATCGACTTCAAACAGAACAAAGAAATCAAAAATATGAAATTTTTCGATGATTTTGGCGGCGATTCTACAGAAACCATGAGAAAACCGTCGCGCGACACTATCCTGCCGACTGCGGTTGACCAAAACAATTACAACATTGGCCAACAAAACATCAGATTTACCTCAAAAAGGCCTCCAAATTACTACATGTACTAGATACGCCACCTGAAGTACAAGGAGAGATCGATGATTAAAATCGAGGTACATTATGTACATTGTACTAAGGTTCGCTGACGAGTCGGATGAAAAGTGAAATTTCCCGTTATGTATATGTATACATGTGGACGTGTGGCCTATGTTTACGGAGGCAGTCCAGTAAATAAATGATAGTGGATATTTTGCCGATTACTAAAGGTTTGCCGGCGGCAATCCATATCAACAGAGGGCGCTGTACTCTTTAAAATAGGGCTGAATTATAAGATGTATTAAATTCCCACCAAAAGTTGTGGAGCACGTTCGGTGTAGTAGTTAAGCAAAGGCTCTAGTAAGCGGGACGACTCGCGTTCGATTCCGACCGCACCACATTTTTAATTTTTTTTTCTCATCCCCAAATAAATAAGAATATTCTTCTTTTATTATTTTAACATGTCTCAAACATATTTTGCAGAGTATTACATTTTCTTTTTCAGATTTGTGGCTCTGGAGGATTTTTTTTTAAAAGGGAAATAAAGTCCGAAATTATAATTTATATAAAATGAATCCCATCTTGAATCTGAATCCCATCTTGTCATGCTTGTGAATACGAGGTAACAACGATAATTTTGGCATGGAGCCAGACTAAAACTTGTCACCGGAAAAAAAAAAAGTACAAAAAAAACAGTAACTGCGCATGTTCAGTGCATATCCGGCAAACTAACGTTTACTAAAAGTTTGCCGTCTCCGGCAAAATATACACTGCCTAAATAAATAGGCCACATTTATGGGCTACTTACACCCTACATACATTGCCCTAGCAGAAAATTCTCATTTTTTTCAAACCTCCAAACTCTCCTGTCACGAAATTTTTGGCCTCAATATTTCGCAAGTATTATCTTGATGTGGATAGGTACCTCTAGGATAGGTCGAAATTGCTCAAATGTCAAACAAAAATGTAAAATTTACCAGAATTTCGTCCACCAGAATCACAGGCATGACACTCGACAGAAGCACGTCCACTCGGTTGATCATGTTATTTCTCAAACGCCACAGGCCGGTCGAACGCTGCATCAGCAGAAAGATCCGAAATAAAATGGGTTTCGTACCACATAGGGTGCACTGAACTAATTCAAGCGAGAATTTCTACGCCAGCTGATTAGCATAAAAAGTGCCCCCCCCCCCCCAATTTCTTTTGAAAACGGAGACCGTTTGGCTTTAAAAACGTGGAATTGTTTAAATATACCCAAGGATCAACTCCCTGGTTTTGGGGCTTCCATCTGAGGGCAGGCTTGATAAAATCACGGATGAAAAAATGGGTCCTATTTGCCTGTGAAAGTGGAAGGGTGCCACTTGTAAATGGCCACATGCAGGCTCGGGAACTATCACTTTTCGGGAGGTGATTTTATTTGGGTGTGAATAATTAAAAATGTAATTGGCTAATGTACGTAAAATTGAAAAGAAATGAAAAGATGAAAGACAAGACAATAATTTAATTTTTGTTTCAGAAACCCCAGTGATGTTGGCTTGCATGTTACTTGGCCCTGAACTTTGTTGATTTTGTCACGCCCCAACTATCGCATCGGTCCCAACTATAGTTGGGCCTGTCCCAACTATAGTTGGGCCTGTCCCAACTATAGTTGGGCCTGTCCCAACTGTAGTTCCACAGTTGGGCTGGCCCAACTATAGTTGGGCCTGTCCCAACTATAGTTGGGACGGTCCCAACTGTAAGTTCCACTGTTGGGCTGGCCCATCTATAGTTGGGCCACTCCGATATTTTTATTTTGCGGTGTCTCAACTATAGTTTACATTGATGTACAACTGTAAAACGTTCCCTACAGCTCTGATACACGTCTGACTTTACTGGGGACCACTGAAATTAGTTATTGATGGGGCGAATCAATAGTTGGGCCACTCCAATCTTTTTATTTTGCGGTCCCAACTAGAGTGTACATTGTTGTACGATTATAAAACATTCCCTACAACTCTAATACACATCTGACTTTACTTGGGACCAATGAAATTATCTATGGGTGGGGACCATCTGTAGTTGGGCCACCGCAATATTTTTATTTGGCGGTCCCAACTATAGTTTACATTGATGTACGACGACTATAAAACATTCCCTACAGCTCTGTTACATACTGTCCGACTTTACTTGGGACCTTTGACATTAGCTATCGGGGCCCATCTATAGTTGGCCGGCCATGGCAATCTTTGAATTTTGCAAAATGTTGCTGGACAATCAACCCAGCAGCTGGACAACTCATCCAACTAGGCAGTACCCCGTGACCGGCCAGCCTTGCGGCATGCATGCACGACGAATACACGGTGCCAGCGCCGCGGAACATTTAATCCAACAAGATCTATCAAGCATGAAGCATCCGGCGCAACTCCAGTCCTAACTATAGTTGGGCCGACCCAACTGCCGCACAATAGTTGGGACAGTCCCCACTATATTTGGACCGATGCGATAGTTGGGGCGTGACAATTTTACACTGTTTTCAATGGGGCTTTAATTAGTACAGTGGACCCACACGAGAGCGCCGTGCGAGGCTGGTTTAGACTTGATCAAGTCATTCACTGGCTTAGCGTTGATAATTTAGCCTGGATGTTTCGTTATAAAAAAGTTTGTTGTGTGTTTTTCTTTATTATGTACAGGCTGATTTCAATTTTGGAATGTTTTACGTGTCCAAATTTATCGTGCTCTAATTTGTATTATTAGTTACGTCTTCAAGTGCATAAATTATTATCATATTTCATGCAAGTTTGAGATGGTTTTTGTACATGTTTTGATGCATGTACAGGCAAAATCGACCTGTGGCGTTTGAGATGGTTTTGTACATGGTTTATATGCATGTATAGACAAAATCGACCTGTGCCGTTTGAGATGGTTTTTGTACTTGGTTAAGGCATGTTCAGGCTCATCGACCAGTGGCGTTTGAGATGGTTTTTGTACATGTTTTAATGCATGTACAGGCAAAATCGACCTGTGGCGTTTGAGATGGTTTTGTACATGGTTTATATGCATGTCCAGGCTAATCTACCTGAGGTAGCGTTTGAGATGGTTTTTGTACATAGTTTTAGGCATGTTTAGGCTAAATCAACCTGTGGCGTTTGAGACGCTCTTTGTACATGGTGTTTTTTATGCATGTATAGGCAAAATCTCATTTATATTTTTTTTTTTGCAGGGAGGGTGAGGGACAATTTCAACCTGCACAGTTGTCACCCACAAAGAAGAATTTCATTTAGATTGCTTAAGTTTGTACAATCTGTCCCTGAATGAGCATATCTTGTTCATTTTCAACTGACAAAACGAGCTTTATGAGCACCTATACATCGCAGACCGATTACACGTGTCAAAGTCTCATCAAATTGAAGGACCCACTTTCTGTTTGCAAACTGTTTTTCAGAGAAACTAAATTCATGTTCCCTTATTTGAAGCGTTGAAGGCAGCATTAAAACTGCAATTTGGTTTTCATGTACCTACGTCTGGAGCTCACTCCAAAAGTTTCAAGTCTGAAGCCTTGAAACTTTGTCAGCTTGTTGGCCTATTCATCCGCTATCCAACAAGCTAGAGTTTGTCAAAATCCATCCATGTTAAGGTACCTTTAGACTTCGACACATGAGAGCCATGTCGGCTGGAGCTGACAGCCCTTGCTATGGGACTTACTGCACAAAAACGAAACTGGGGGCATCATGTACCTACGTCTGGGCTCACTCCAAAAGTTTCAAGTCTGAAGCCTTGAAACTTTGTCAGCTTGTTGGCCTATTCATCCGCTATCCAACAAGCTAGAGTTTGTCAAAATCCATCCATGTTAAGGTACCTTTAGACTTCGACACATGAGAGCCATGTCGGCTGGAGCTGACAGCCCTTGCTATGGGACTTACTGCACAAAAACGAAACTGGGGGCATCATGTACCTACGTCTGGAGCTCACTCCAAAAGTTTCAAGTCTGAAGCCTTGAAACTTTGTCAGCTTGTTGGCCTATTCATCCGCTATCCAACAAGCTAGAGTTTGTCAAAATCCATCCATGTTAAGGTACCTTTAGACTTCGACACATGAGAGCCATGTCGGCTGGAGCTGACAGCCCTTGCTATGGGACTTACTGCACAAAAACGAAACTGGGGGCATCATGTACCTACGTCTGGAGCTCACTCCAAAAGTTTCAAGTCTGAAGCCTTGAAACTTTGTCAGCTTGTTGGCCTATTCATCCGCTATCCAACAAGCTAGAGTTTGTCAAAATCCATCCATGTTAAGGTACCTTTAGACTTCGACACATGAGAGCCATGTCGGCTGGAGCTGACAGCCCTTGCTATGGGACTTACTGCACAAAAACGAAACTGGGGGCATCATGTACCTACGTCTGGGGCTCACTCCAAAAGTTTCAAGTCTGAAGCCTTGAAACTTTGTCAGCTTGTTGGCCTATTCATCCGCTATCCAACAAGCTAGAGTTTGTCAAAATCCATCCATGTTAAGGTACCTTTAGACTTCGACACATGAGAGCCATGTCGGCTGGAGCTGACAGCCCTTGCTATGGGACTTACTGCACAAAAACGAAACTGGGGGCATCATGTACCTACGTCTGGAGCTCACTCCAAAAGTTTCAAGTCTGAAGCCTTGAAACTTTGTCAGCTTGTTGGCCTATTCATCCGCTATCCAACAAGCTAGAGTTTGTCAAAATCCATCCATGTTAAGGTACCTTTAGACTTCGACACATGAGAGCCATGTCGGCTGGAGCTGACAGCCCTTGCTATGGGACTTACTGCACAAAAACGAAACTGGGGGCATCATGTACCTACGTCTGGGGCTCACTCCAAAAGTTTCAAGTCTGAAGCCTTGAAACTTTGTCAGCTTGTTGGCCTATTCATCCGCTATCCAACAAGCTAGAGTTTGTCAAAATCCATCCATGTTAAGGTACCTTTAGACTTCGACACATGAGAGCCATGTCGGCTGGAGCTGACAGCCCTTGCTATGGGACTTACTGCACAAAAACGAAACTGGGGGCATCATGTACCTACGTCTGGAGCTCACTCCAAAAGTTTCAAGTCTGAAGCCTTGAAACTTTGTCAGCTTGTTGGCCTATTCATCCGCTATCCAACAAGCTAGAGTTTGTCAAAATCCATCCATGTTAAGGTACCTTTAGACTTCGACACATGAGAGCCATGTCGGCTGGAGCTGACAGCCCTTGCTATGGGACTTACTGCACAAAAACGAAACTGGGGCATCATGTACCTACGTCTGGAGCTCACTCCAAAAGTTTCAAGTCTGAAGCCTTGAAACTTTGTCAGCTTGTTGGCCTATTCATCCGCTATCCAACAAGCTAGAGTTTGTCAAAATCCATCCATGTTAAGGTACCTTTAGACTTCGACACATGAGAGCCATGTCGGCTGGAGCTGACAGCCCTTGCTATGGGACTTACTGCACAAAAACGAAACTGGGGGCATCATGTACCTACGTCTGGAGCTCACTCCAAAAGTTTCAAGTCTGAAGCCTTGAAACTTTGTCAGCTTGTTGGCCTATTCATCCGCTATCCAACAAGCTAGAGTTTGTCAAAATCCATCTATGTTAAGGTACCTTTAGACTTCGACACATGAGAGCCATGTCGGCTGGAGCTGACAGCCCTTGCTATGGGACTTACTGCACAAAAACGAAACTGGGGGCATCATGTACCTACGTCTGGGCTCACTCCAAAAGTTTCAAGTCTGAAGCCTTGAAACTTTGTCAGCTTGTTGGCCTATTCATCCGCTATCCAACAAGCTAGAGTTTGTCAAAATCCATCCATGTTAAGGTACCTTTAGACTTCGACACATGAGAGCCATGTCGGCTGGAGCTGACAGCCCTTGCTATGGGACTTACTGCACAAAAACGAAACTGGGGGCATCATGTACCTACGTCTGGGGCTCACTCCAAAAGTTTCAAGTCTGAAGCCTTGAAACTTTGTCAGCTTGTTGGCCTATTCATCCGCTATCCAACAAGCTAGAGTTTGTCAAAATCCATCCATGTTAAGGTACCTTTAGACTTCGACACATGAGAGCCATGTCGGCTGGAGCTGACAGCCCTTGCTATGGGACTTACTGCACAAAAACGAAACTGGGGG